AGGCTTAAAATCAAACACCCTTCCCCATCCCGTTCTCCACCCCGCCCCCCAGCTACTGGGGAGAGATGTCTCAGCATCTCTTGGGAGGATGACCACAGGCAGTATAGCAAATATGGGGGATTTCCTTCTATCTTCTGTTTGAAGGTGAATGTTGTTTTCACTGTTTTGTTTTGTTATGTTTCTTTTGTTCTCTTCAGTATTCTCTGTTTTTGGTTTGATTTGGCTATACCTAATTGACTGGACAACTATTGTGAAGTTAACGAGATATACCATAGTACCTATTACTACTATCCCAGTATCCTACTGTGAAATTCTGTACCAATTTCACTGCATTGTCTCAACTGGTTTTGTTCTTGTGCTGTTGCATTTTTATACTTTCAAAATAAAAAATTAAAAAAAAAAAAAAGAATGCCTCAGTGTCTCCTATTGTCCTGACACTGGAATTCAGAATCAGAATCAGGTTGGAATTTTGCTCACAAGTTACAGGATAAGGCTGGGTCCTAAGAAGTGGCCTTTACTGAATCCTGAGCAGAATTCCCAGGTGAGGGTCTATGACGCGCTCCCAACCCTCTGGACTGAGTAAGGTCTCTGAGGACTTTGGCGCTGCCTCTTCACTCTCTCCTACTGAGTCTTGGTGGTGATGGCGGGGGCACTACTTCTGGCTGTGGGACTCAATGGTGCAGATGTGTGTGTGTGACTATGGCATTTACTCAGAGGACATTATATTTACCCAAGATATTCTATTTATTCTTTTAAAATTTTCCTCTTTTTAAACATTTGCTGGGGATGGAAACAAGTAGGCAAGTATTCTGACACTTAGCGACCTCCCCAATCTGACATTACATTTATTATGTTACATTAGATTTTACCGCAAGACTTTGATTTAGGTAGACATGGAAATCCAGAGCAGGGAGAGGTGAAAGGGAGGGAGGTGTGGCTGAGCAGAGCCACCTTCCCCAGGGACTGCAATGGTGCCACAGAGCAGAACTGATTCTGAGCTTGCTGGATGGAATTCACTCCTTGTCTAAACAAATAATTTTTGTTTCCAATTTTTTTGTTTTTTTGTCTTTTTCGTTTTTACCGGTACCAGGGATCGAACTCACTGACTGCTTGCTTGCAAGGCAGGTGCTTATGCTGCTGAGCTAAATCCCTAGCCCCAAATAATTTTTTTTTTTTAACCATAAGAACATTTGATACCAGGGCTTGGGCACTGATCCTGTACTGAAGGCACATATGAAAAGGTAAAGCAGGCTGGGGATTTAGCTCTGTGGCATAAGTGCCTGCCTGGCAAGTGTGAGGTTGTGAGTTAAATCCTGGATACAAAAAAAAAATCCAGCACCTACTATCCCTATGGGTCCTAGGATTGCAGTTTACTTAGTTTGTGGCAATGAAGTTGAAAGATGATGGCTGTAGGACTGCAAAGACTAGTTGCAGGCGGGGGATGAAGATTAAAAGTATGGTAAAGTGGGGACCATGAAAGCGGCTGAATGTGGGATTATAGATTACAATGTCGGTGTCTGGGAGGCTGAGGCAGGAGGACCTGAAAGTTGAACCCAGCCTAGGCAATGCAACGATTTAAAGAGACCGTCTCAAAACTTAAAAATAAAAAAAGGTTAAGAGTGTAGCTCAGTGTGAAGGCCCTACGTTCAATTCCCAGTACGTTTTTCTTTTCTTTTTTTTTTTTTTTTTTTCCTTTTTGGTACCAGCGATCGAACTCACAACCTCACGCTTGCCAGGCAGGCACTTATGCCTGCTGAGCTAAAAATGCCCAGCCCTAATTCCTAATACTTTTTATTTTATTTTACTTTTTGTATTTTGGAGACAGGGTCTCACTATGCAGTTCAGGTTGTCCTTGAACTCACTATTAACTGAGTTTGTGCTCTTTCCCCCGCGGGAGGAAGACGGGCCAGCCAGTTCATTTGCAGTCTGCTTAGTCCAGAGAAGCTGGCCTAGGCCGTCGGATCCCCGGCATGTCTGTGGGCTGCATTCCGAATTGAGATTTCGGGCAGGCGAGTCTATTCCGCAGCCTGTGTAGACTCGGCGCCTGCGACACGGGGACTCAGCGTCTTGTTCGCGAGCGGGACGCATAGGGGTCGCGGGGGCCGAGAGAACCCTGTCCAGCTCCTCGCCAAAGCCCTCCCTTGTCCGCGCCGCCGCCCTAGCACTATGGGCTCCGCGTTGTCCCGGTCCGGGCCCAGGTGGGCGAAAACCCAGCAGGGAAGACCAGGAGCGCTCAGCTCCCGCCCGGTGCGCGCAGTAGGAAGAGCGCGCCGCCGCCGCACGCCGGTGGCCGCTCTAAGAGCCGCACCCGCGTCTCCGTGGAATCCTAACCCGTTCCGCCCCGGCCAAAACCGCTCTAGCAGCCGCACCCGCGGTTCCGTGGAACCTCACCATTCCGCATGGCTGACGTTGAATAGATTGATTGGGACTGGAATTTTTGAGCTCTGTTTTTCAAGGCTGGTTATTTTCCAGGTTGGTCTTAGTTGGGGGGAAACATTGGTATGACTATGTTCATGGGTGTTTGGCGGTTTGTCACTAGGATTACGATTTGCATTTCCCTAATGATTTGTGACGTTGAACGTCTTTTCATCCGCTTGTTGGACACCTACATATCTTCTCTGGAGAAATGTTCATTCACAGCACAGCCCTGGCCTCCCTTAGGAGCTAGACACCCAAAGTGTTCCTGGAGGATGTCCCGGCCAAACAGGGCTACCCTGCCCTTCCCAACACCTCTCTTCAACTCTGGAGTACAATGAAGGGAGAATGGAGGGATGCCTTGGTCCCAGATGCACCTGAACCCATTTGAGCAGCAGAATCACAGTTAGGAGCTGTAGTAGCTCCGAAGTCAGCCTACAGTCACTAATAAGCTATGTGCAACTGACTTATTCTCTGTATGCTTGGGATACTAGTGATGTTGGTATCATGAGTGGTCACTGATGGTTCAAGAAGTCATTACAGGCAAATACTTGGAGTACTCCTGGAACACAGCAATTACTTGATAGAGGTGACGATACAGAAAATATCACCCTCATATAGCTTATTTGGGGGACACAGCCTAAGCACTACTGGCAGTTAAAAGGGTGTCAGAACATCAGTAGTGAAGGCTAGCTAGGCATAGTGGCACACACTGTAACCCCAGCACCAGGAAGCTAAGAAAAAAGGGCAAAAGTTTGAGCCTAACCTGCCAAACCTGGCCAGCTGAACAACTTAGCAAGAACCTCTCTCAAAATAACAATTTAAAAAGGGGTTGGCAATGTAGCTCAGCATGAAGTCTGCTGGGTTCAGTCCCCAGTACACACACACAGAGAGAACAAAAGTGAAGAGCATTGATTTAGTGAAACCACCTCTCCCCCTCAGAGCTGAGGACACTATAGGGAGTGGCAGGGACTCCCATGGGAAGTCATTGCCCCTGTAAAGAAGGAAACTGCTGTTCTCAGCCAGTTTTTAACATATGAACTTTTTCTTTTTTAAAGATGGGGTCTCAATAATATTTTCCCCAGCCCTGTCTCACATTCCTGGGCTCACCTGAACCTCCAACCTTGTGAAATAGCTAGGACATAGGCACATGCCACTGTACCCACTTTTACATACTGATTTTTAAGTATAGCAGTTAATTCAGTTGAAAGGGTAAGCAAACAAAAACTATCCACTCTAAGCCTTCAGGGTGCAGCTTGCCTGTAGCTTCACCATCCTGGGACCAGGTCAGGCTTCTGCAGGTTGCTCAGCAAATTAAGCACCTTCCACATGCCAGTCACTGCTGCAGGTACTAGAGACACACAATGACTACAAGAGACAAAGTCTCTGCCCAGGCTGAAATGACATTAGCACTTCTGTATGCCCTTTGGGGGAGATAAGCCATGGGAAACCCATAAGATGAGAGGACTGGAAGGGGAAGGTCCTGAGGAGGGAGAGAAGACCTGCTGGCACAGGGCACCAGAGACCACCTGCAGATATACCTGGAGAGCAAGCAGAAGGGCAAGTGGGCAAAAGGAACAGTGCTGAGAAAGAAGCAGAGACAGGGCCTCGCGCTGGCCAGGTCCCTTTTCCTGACTCTGAACCTCAGATGCCAATTCAAAGGAAATATAATTTTTCACAATTTCTGACATTTGGTTTTTCTCACTCCTAGCTTCCATATATCCCTGGACAGATGGCCCTTCCTGCATTCTGGGATTCCTCTGTGTCTATAACTAATACACACACACACACACACACACACACACACACACACCTTAATTCTTATTCAACTCCCAGGTCTTCCTATCCCTATCTTTACCAAAGAATATTGCCTTAAGTATACTGCCTAGCTACTCATACCTTGGCTTTCTCATCTGTAAAATAGGGCCACAGGCAGGAAATTATAGCTCAGTGTTGTAAGCACCTGCCTGGCAAGTGTAAGGTCCTGAGTTTGATTCCCAGTACAAAACAATTGCAAAAAAAAAAGGTCACAGTGAAAGGTGAAGGGAAATGACACCAAGGCTGTAAAACTTGGGAACCCACTGGTTTCTTTTCACTACCACAGGACAGTTTCCTCCTGTAAGGCGAGCTAACTGAGAAAGACAGGCCAAAGAGCTGCCTGTTACAAATCCTTCTTGGCCCAGTGCCCTCTCTGCCCCAACTCCTGTTGCCAGGATTTATTTCACTTCAGTTCCTTTAGGTCTGCAGCAGGTTGCCTCGGCTTTGCCCTGCAGCCTCAGCCCCATTCTAGATGGAACCCAGGCATCCGAGTCCATTCCAGGGTGAGTCCAAACAAAGGCTGGCCCCAGGGAACCAGCAGCCGCCAAATCTGAGGGGTTAGCTAGTGAGGCTGGCGGAGCCCGTGTGAGATAGGAAACAGCCAGAAGTCCAGAGACCCTCGCTGGCCCCGAGTTCCCTAACATGGGCCTCTTGCCAGCTCACACAGAAGACAGTAAGAAGGGGGCGTCATCTCCCTGTCCTTCACCTCCCTGTCCGGCTGTCCACCTCCCCCCCAGGCTGTGGAAGGCAAAGGGTTAAATCCCATAGAGCTGATGCTCTGACTCCAGGCTAGAGGGGCCCGGGAAGCTGGGGTCACTTCCTGCTCCGTCCCAGTCACCCTGAACTGGTCCCCGGGTCCTCAGCCTGGAATCACCCCTTCTGAAGGACCCCGGAGTCCTGGGCATCCAGCCCACCCCCCGAAGCAGGGCATTCAAAGGGTTAAGTCTCCAGGGGCTGAACTCCGCTTTCCGGCTTTTCCAGACCCCAGAGCCGTGAGTCGGGGCCGCCTGGGTTCCCGGGGAGGAGGTTGGCCTGGAGGGCCCGGGACGCCGCCGCTGGGAACAATGGGGCCGCGAGGGGGGTGGGCAGGGGCAGCGGGCCGAGGATTCTGGGAGGAGCGGGGGTCTGGCGGGGGAGGGGCGGCGTGGGCATGCCGGGAAGGGGCCGGGGCGGCGAGACGTGATCCGGGTCTGGACAGGCGGGGAACCCGGGCGCCGGGTGGGGGTGGGCTGTGGAGCAGGGGCTCGGCCCTGGAGGCCGGAAGGGTCTGGGTGCGGCTGGAGCGTGAGTTGGGGTCTGGCCTGGTGTGGGCGCTGTGTGTGCGCGTGGAGGGGGCGCATTCCCGCTACCTCCACGTCAGGGTCACCCTTACCGCTCCCCACCTCTCCGAGAGACCGTCTTCCCCTTCCGTCGCTCTGCATTGGGGCGTCCCGAGGTGAGGTCTGTGGCCGGTGTTCTGGGGCCTAGGTTGGCTTTAGGCACTTGTGCCTCCCTTGGTCTTCCCGATTCCGTGTCGGCCTTCGTTTTAACCCTTTCCTTTCTACTCTGGACCACTGAGTTTACATAGCCCAGATAATCCGGGTGCAGAAGCTCTTACCTGTCGCCAGCAAAAACAGCCTGGCACCTTTGATCCTTCGGCCAGGCAGGGGTCCCTGCTTATGTCTACTGAAAGACACAGGGGATTCTCAGAGCCTAACAGCTGCAGAGGTGAAGAAATTAATTTGCTTCTTAAAATCTAACTTCGTTCTCTCCTACTGCTCTTTGACAGGCTTCGGCTGGCACTTGCTCCATCTCAGTTTACCTCTCAGCTGCCTCCTCCTGAGATCTTGCCATGTCTCCTTTACACCAAGTTCCCGTGCACTGGGTACCCAGGCCCCTCCCAGGGATTCCCTTTTGGTGGAAATGTGGGAAGGCCTTGTTTGGTTCCTGTGGCCCTGTTCCCTCATTGTGGGATCAATGCATCATTTTAGGACTGGCAGCAGTATTTTCTTCAGGAGGCTCATGTTGAACTCTGGTTTCTCTGCTACCATCTCGTCACAAACTAATCTTTTTTAGGGTTGGTACTGGGGGTCGAACTCATGACCTCACACTTACCAGGCAGGTGCTTAGCTACTGAGTTATATTCCCAGCCCACAAACTAATCTTTAAAGGCAGATAGACCAAAGGTTTCCAGAAACAAAGGGCATCTAGCTCATTCATTCAACTTTCAGTCATTCAACAAAATATTTATGGAGCACCTATTATTATAGGCCTGTGATACAGCATCAACAAAATGGAATAAAAGGACTAGAGATGAGGCCCAAGATGGGACTGGAACTGGAAGTCTTAGAAGAATGAGATTTTTCTTGAGCTCATACAAACAGATCACTAAAGCTAGTCACAGGTTCCAACCCCTCCTTTTATAGCCAAAGAAATTCTGGTCCCAGGAATTTTTCCAACCCATTCTCACGGCCAGCAGGATCTGTCAGTGTTCTTCACTACTGGCCTCCTGCCAGCAGCCCACAAGTATGAGTCTCACATGACTTCCAAGGTCACCTCATGCTCTGAGAGAGAGCCAAGCTAAACTGCATTTGTGGGCTTAGTTCCACCACTTCCCAGTCTGGGACTTCGAGAAGTGTCTCCCACACTGATTTACTATTTTGTAATGTGTCTCCCACATCGATTTACTAATCTGTAAAATGGACAACCTGATTTCCACGTGTCCTCATTGGGTTGTGGGAGGACAGAGTGAGACAGGAACACACCTGGCAGCGACCTTATCCCTGGAGATATTTTCCTTTATTTCTCTCCCTCCAGGCTCCTGCAGAAGCCCTTGTCTTTAAACTGCCCCTCCTCCACCACAGGTCGAACCCTCTTTCTGTTCTTAGAAATGGGAAAGTATCCTGGTCCTTCTGGAGAGCTCCTATCCCCTCTTGGAAACTGGGGTTTTTTGTTTTTATTTTGGTTTTTGTTTTGTTTTGTTTTTAAACTCTGTCAGCCTCAATTCTCTCTAGGGCGCATAGGGGTAAAAGTTTATTGCAATTAGTTGCCCCATTAAGGAAAATTGGAGTTTAATGAGCTTCCTCTGATTTGCAAAATAACAGGTTTCCCAGCCTCTGGGCATCAGAAGTGTAAGGTGAGAACATACCTCCCCTGTGGATGTCAGTTAGTTCTCCAGCCCCCAGTCTGGTTCAAAGGGTTATGACTGATGAGTTTTTAATTGCTCTCTTTAAGTTCACTTGCCTAGTTGTGATCTTGGAGCAGGAATCGGGCCTGCAGGGAGGAGGGGGGCACAGTGAGGATCTGTGCCCAGAAAAAGGAGGTTGTTGGATATGAAGTTCACTGAGCAGGAGTAAGGGAGAAATGAGGTTCAGGGGAGTAGAGAAAACCATAGTTTCCATTGTGTGCCACTCTCTCCCCTCCCAGGGTCCTCGGATCCCTTCTGGTCCTGAGCTCTGGGATGGAGCCTGAAACAGCACTTTGGGGCCCGGATCTGGAGGGTCCTGAAGAGACCACAAATGATGCTTCTGGAGGTGAGGGCACAAGAAGGGACTATGGTCCAAACGAGACAGTGGCCCCTGCTCAGGGAGGGGCCCAGACTCTGGGGGAAACCCAGGGGAGGGAAGAGAGACCAGACCCCATGTTCTGAAAGGAGATGGGGGCTAGAGACTCCCTTTCTGTCTGTAGGTGCTGAAAGTGGGAACGAAGCGGAGAGCCCTCAGGAGGAGAGTTCTGGGGAGGAGATCATCTTGGGAGACCCAGCTCAGAGTCCAGAGCCCAAGGACACATCTGAGACACCCCCAGAGAGCCCTTCCCAGGACCCCTCAGCCTCTCAGGAACCCCCAGTCCCACTGGATCCCTCCAACCCCTCAGACCACCAGACTCCAGCTCCTGAGGTAGTCCCTGCCCCATCTGACTGGACCAAGGCCTGTGAGGCCAATTGGCAGTGGGGGACCCTTCCCACCTGGAACAACCCCCCAGTGGTCCCTGCTAATGAGCCCAGCCTGCGGGAACTGGTGCAGGGTCGCCCTGCAGGGGCTGAGAAGCCCTACATCTGCAATGAGTGTGGCAAGAGCTTCAGCCAGTGGTCCAAGCTGCTGCGACACCAGCGCATCCACACAGGTGAACGACCCAACACCTGCTCAGAGTGCGGCAAGAGCTTCACACAGAGTTCACATCTGGTACAGCACCAACGCACACACACGGGTGAAAAGCCCTACAAGTGCCCTGACTGTGGCAAGTGCTTCAGCTGGAGCTCCAACTTGGTACAGCACCAGCGCACACACACGGGTGAGAAGCCCTACAAGTGCACCGAGTGTGAGAAGGCCTTCACCCAGAGCACCAACCTCATCAAGCACCAGCGGTCCCATACAGGCGAGAAACCCTACAAATGCAGCGAGTGCCGGCGGGCCTTCTACCGCAGCTCAGACCTCATCCAGCACCAGGCCACACACACAGGTGAGAAACCCTACAAGTGCCCTGAGTGTGGCAAGCGCTTCGGCCAGAACCACAATCTCCTTAAGCACCAGAAGATCCATGCTGGTGAGAAGCCCTACCGATGCACTGAATGTGGCAAGAGCTTCATCCAGAGCTCAGAGCTGACCCAGCACCAGCGCACGCACACGGGTGAGAAACCCTATGAATGCCTTGAGTGTGGCAAGAGCTTTGGCCACAGCTCCACACTCATCAAGCACCAGCGCACCCACCTGCGTGAGGACCCCTTCAAGTGCCCTGTGTGTGGCAAGACCTTCACCTTGAGTGCCACACTGCTGCGGCATCAGCGAACGCACACAGGTGAGCGGCCCTACAAATGCCCTGAGTGTGGTAAGAGCTTCAGCGTCAGCTCCAACCTCATCAACCACCAGCGCATCCACCGCGGTGAACGGCCCTACATCTGTGCCGACTGTGGCAAGAGCTTCATCATGAGCTCCACGCTCATCCGCCACCAGCGCATCCACACGGGCGAGAAGCCGTACAAGTGCTCTGACTGCGGCAAGAGCTTCATCCGTAGCTCGCACCTCATCCAGCACCGGCGCACACACACTGGCGAGAAGCCCTACAAGTGCCCAGAGTGTGGCAAGAGCTTCAGCCAGAGCTCCAACCTCATCACACACGTGCGCACGCACATGGACGAGAACCTCTTTGTGTGCTCTGACTGCGGGAAGGCCTTCTTGGAGGCTCATGAGCTGGAGCAGCATCGGGTGATTCACGAGAGAGGCAAGACCCCTGCCCGCAGAGCTCAAGGTGACTCCATGCTCGGGCTTGGGGATCCCACCTTGCTAACCCCACCACCTGGAGCCAAACCCCATAAGTGTCTGGTCTGTGGCAAGGGCTTCAATGATGAGGGGATCTTCATGCAGCACCAGAGGATCCACATTGGAGAAAATCCCTACAAAAATGCCGATGGTCACATCACACACCCGGCTCCCAAACCTCCTCAGCTTCGATCACCAAGGCTCCTTTTTGGAGGGAATTCCTACCCAGGTGCTGCAGAGGGCAAAGCTGACCACCCAGGCCAGTCCCTTAAGATGGCAGAGGGTCAGGAGGGCTTCAGCCAGAGGCTGGGGCTGCTCTCCTCCAAGTCCTACATTTGCTCCCACTGCGGAGAAAGTTTCCTGGATCGTGCTGTGCTTCTCCAACATCAGCTCACCCATGGCAATGAAAAGCCTTTTCTCTTTCCTGATTGTAGGACTGGGACAGGGGAGGGGGCAGGGGCAAGAGCAGGCCCCAGTCCTTTCCTAACTGGAAAACCCTTTAAATGCCCTGAATGCAAAAAAAGCTTTGGTCTTAGCTCTGAGCTACTACAGCACCAAAAAGTCCATGCAGGCAGGAAATCCCAGAAGAGTCCTGAGCTGGGGAAGGGGTCTGAGTTGGGAAAGAGCTCTTCTGTTCTTCTGGAGCACCTCAGGAGCCCTCTGGGGGCCAGACCCTACAGCTGCTCCGATTGCAAGGCCTCTTTCCCTGATCGGCTGGCTCTCATGCAGCACCAGGAAACACACACCCAAGAAAAGTCCCTCAAATCTGGGGACACCCTGCCGGAACCAGCCACCCTGTCCACAAGCCAGGAAGGTAAGGGAGAGGCCTCCAGCCCCACAGGAAGCAGCAGCCACAGAGAAGGGGAAAGCCCCAAAACCCCCTCAGAAGAAAAGCTCTATTTGTGCCCTGAGTGTGGAGACAGCTTCCCAGAAGTCGCAGCCCTCCTTCTCCACAGAAGCTGCCATCCTGGTGTTTCCTTGTGAAATGAGTCTGGAGACCAGGGACCTCTCTTTCCTGAGAGGAACACTGGATTCCCCTAAAAATCATGTGGAGAGAGGAAGACAACCCTGTAGAGAAGTGAAAGATGAACGCGGGGAAGTGTTTTTTACATCAGTCATGAGAAACCCTTTACAATTATTGGTGGGAATCACTTATAAGGCAGTAGAAAAAAACTGTTGAGTTAGAAACCCTATAAATATATAGGACAAAAAAGCCCTTTAAGTCTGTAGCAGAAAAACCCTATCAACCATAGTGGATAAAAGCCCTATTAATTGTAGGAAGAGGTCTCAGTAAGTCTGTAAGCAACCCCATAACACTGTATCAAAATCCTTGTTAAACTCATCAAAATTCTAGAGGATCAGGAAGGTCAGGGAGTACAACATGGCCTTGAATCAGGAGGACAACCCTCAAAAAGTGTCGGAAACACACCTAACACACTTGTCCCACAGTGCCCTCTTCTGCGCGAGTGTGGGAGGGAATCCCCCTCCCAGCACTGACAGATGGTTATACTGAGGAAAATTCTCAGCTGAAGAATAGTGTGGGAACAGGTGAAATGGAAAAGGAAGAAAACAGAAGGAAAGTAATTGACGAGTCTTTGAACCCACAGAATAGAGACTAGGAATAGAAAAATTCCAGCTGCACTGGAGCAGGGGGGGAGGGCTCCATGGGACACGAGGCCAATCTTAGAACTGTATGTGAGGGAATAGACCCATGAAATTCATTATTACCAAAAGCCCAAAAATAAGGAAAAAAACAAATTATGTCAAACCTTTTTAAAGGCTGAAGTTTGGGGTGGATTTTTTTCTTTAAACTTTAAGAATACTGAGAAACCATCACAATAATTAGGAGGGATTTCTGTTAGATTTGCTTGGAAGAAAGCAGACTAAGGTGGAAAAACTGTTCCAGTGGAACCCAGTAAACTCCAGGCCAGTTTCTCCCCTTTCTGGGACCTTGTTAAACTGCAAGTATAAGCAGATCCAGCTCAGGCCAACAGGCAGGACCCTTCTGTCTCCAGCCTAGCTAGAGACATCTATTCTTAGAGGCCTCCAGGGTCGGAGGGGGCCTCTGCCACATTCTCAGGTCTCATGGTCAGGTTTTTTCCTAAAATCTAACTGCCACAAGTCTTGCCGCTGTGGCAGTCCATTTCCTCAAATTCTATCCTCAGTGAAGAGGGAGAACTGCTGCTAGTCAACCTCCAAAGAATAAATTCCTTCAGAGACTCATGGCTTGTGTGTGGTTGTCCTCCCTAGACTTCTCTGAACGAGAGTCATCTGTGGCCATGGCAAGATGACAGGATACAAACCTTGGATTAGACAGCAACATGCTTTCAACCTCAGCCTTTCCTGTGCACTGGACCACAGGTCTCTGAAGAGTCCACAGAAGCCTCACCACCTTCCTCATGCTGGTATCTGGAACTCGGAGTTGGGATGACCAGCCTGATCATGGCCTTGGAAAGGGACAGATTCAAGGGCTCCTTTCTCCTTAGCCAGAAATCTTCTGAGGGAAGCGGAAGGATGGGAGATGCTCTCCTGCCAGGCCCATCTCACATGACACACAGACACACCTTTCATAAACTCGGCCAGACCTGCTCATATGAGGGGTTGTCTGACAAGAGAGACAGTTACTCTAAAATGACTGAAGAGAGGGAATCATCTCCCACCAGGATCCCCACCAACCCTGGAGACCCTTGAAGATGCAGAGGCATCTGTTCACTGCTGGGTCAGAAAGAAAGTGCTCCCTGACTCAATGCTAGCACCAGTGACAGACGGGTTTTGAAGTAGAACTGAGATGCCAAGTGAGATGGCCCTTCAGGAGTTGTGTAAGAGAGACAGGTGACCTGGATTCCTGCAAAGCTATAGAAGAGACCTCGAATTCCATGGCCTAACAGTTCAGAATGTGAAAACTTCACTCTTCATCTATCCTTCACCCAAAGGTATAACTGAGATTTAAAAGGTTCCAAATCTAGAACATTGAGGGAGAAATGTTCTGGCCTCCTGGGGAGAAGAAAAATGCAGGCCTTTGTGATTGTGGGGATAGCCTTGTTAACATCCACTTGAAGCCCTACACCACCCAAGTGCCAGCTAGGAAAGCACCCCTGAGGCAGGGAGCCTGGCTATGAATCTCTAGTGATAAGAAGTGTCAGCAGAATGTCCCTGTAAGATGAGATAAGCCCTCCCAGTCTAAGCTGATTTGTCTCCCTCTAAGATGGTAGTAGAAACTAAGATGTAGAGACAAACCCCTTGTAATACTAGAAGCAGGTTCCCTCAGATAACAAGCCTTAGAAGCTGTCCCCAGAAAAGTGCTGGGGAGCATCTTTTGGAGCTCAGAGGTCAGTCTTGTGGAGGTGGTCAGTATAGTTGAGGCTACCTGTAGCCTATTGAGGACTAGGGTGTAGCATACATAGTAGGATGCTCGCATGTTGGGGGGATGGGTGAGGACTACGAGTCTTGGCTCTGGTACTGAATGCAGGCACTTGCCCACCAGTATGACGTGTGGACAGTATAATATAATTGGAACCTCTCATCCAACTCCACACCAGCCAGAGCCCTCCCCAGTAGAGGAGCTTGACAACCAGGGATGAGTCGTCACTGGTGAAACGGGAGGGAAGTAAATGATCTTATCTTAGGGTGAAACTTGAAACTCCTGTGGCTATGGAGGTCAGATGGGAACTGGAAAGGACTGGGCATGAATCCAGAAAGGGGGGCACTTGAAACCACAACCAAGAGGTTGGGTTCCATGACCCTGCCCAGGGGGAACAGCTTCCATAAGCCTTTGCTCCTATGAGGAAAGCCCTACTCACCTGACTTGTCCCTGTGGTGTGAAAAGGCCCCACTTGTGTTGTGTATCAATAACAGTGTTGTACCACTGGTGGTCATGTTGATTAGTTGAAGAGAATAAAGGGAATAAGATTTCCCAGATGTTTTTATCTTCTTGTTCATCCTAGAGCAGCCTCTAAGAGCCAAGACCCACAAGTCATCTCAGTGCAGCCTGGTCCCACACTTTTCCCCACAATCATGCCCAAGGCTCTATGGGATAAACAGAGGGGTTTATGAAATTTTACAACATATACCCCAGAAGGACACAGCTCTTGTCAGTACCTGGCTTTGACATCAGCCACAATGGGCTGGTTGCTGGGTGACTGACTGGTATTTGACAGGGACACCTGATCCCCAGCTATGCAGCCCCAGGGAGCCAGAGGGAAGCCTCTGGCCAATCATCCACACCTTCCGAAGGGTGCCACAGCTTCTAATATGTTCCAGAAACTGGCAGCTGCCTCTCCTAATTCCTATGGATACTAATCCCTGAGATGGATGGAGCCCTGATTTACCTCATTCCGAGTTAGTCCACTGGCTCCCATCATGTGGAAACACTGAGGCTCTGGGAAATAGACACTTGCCCAAAAACCACAGCAGAAGTTTAAGCAGGCTATGTACCAGCCCAGCCTCTCCTCTCCATGGTGTGACTTGCCTGGGCCCCTTGGGGGCAGTTCCAAGTGATCCCCATGCCCAGCCTGCTTCCATGTTACATCTCTCAAGCCTGCTATGGTTCCTAAGTAGCTGTTGGAGGTTAACTTTTGCTAGCCTGTCACCTGCTTCTGTCCTCATAGGGGACTCTTGCCCTAGGCAACAAGGTGACTCTCAGAGCCAGACCCCAGTACAGGCTGTCTCTCCATTCTGGGGTTCTGGGCACATGGGAGGATGGATTTGCCCTTCATAGGGAAATAATGAAAGTTTCTCCACATTCCTGGGGTTTCAAGCCCTGTGAACACTGAGGTACAATAGTGTGCTAAAGGAGTCCTCAGTAAGGTGAGGGAGATATAGGGGGAAAGCAGGCAGTGCAGTCTGGCTCAGAGGTGATGGTGCCTGCCATAGCAGAGAGCCAGGTAACTCAGGAGTCACCTAAAGGATGACCATCTCAGGAACTGGGAATTGTGTCCAGAGGCCAGGAGTGGGTGGGGGGTAGGGGGCACAAACAGATGAGTGTAAGAATAGATAAGGGAAGTAAGGCAAAAATTTTTTTTTTCACGAAGTGAGGTGTCTTGTTTGAGAAGCTTAAGGAAGAGGTGCTGTTGGTGGGATTGAGTGTGACATACTTTCCCGTCGTATAGAAAAAAAAAATTTTTTTGTACCAGGTATCAACCTCAGGCTTGCCAGGCAAGCACTTGTACCACTGAACTATATCCCCAGTCCTGAAAAGTAATTTTCAAGGTGTTAGTTTAGCTATAACCATGGTCATGGATAAGCACAGCAAAGGACAAAGAGGATCTAGTTTAAAGATGGAGAGAACCAACAGAAGGCCTTGAGCATAAGAAACAAGGGAAGTGTGACTCTACAGGAACCAATGGACATTTGAATGGTCCCTGTTATATGCTCTGCTAGCCATCATTAGCTATAGTTCTGGATGAAAACAATCCCTGAAACAATCTCATTTCCCAAGAGGTCAGCTAAGGTCAGAGCTAGACAAAGAAAAGGTTTGGCTGCGTTATGCCTGTGGTCAGGGTTACCATAGCCAGAGGCTAGTGGGTCTTCTGGGGGTTTGAAAGGGTCAGATTTCCTAGGCAGAGAGGTCTGGCTGACCATTAGAACAGATCCTGCCAGCAAAGGTTCTTGGTAGGCCATTTACTGGGAGTACCTTTTGTTTGAGCTACCCAATCAATGTTTGCTCCCTGCACTGAGATTCTGGGACCCCCTTCCCCATTTACTTGGGCTTGAGCTTGAGAAAGTGGTTTGAAACCTACTTTTCTATCCGGATGAGAACCAAAAGGGTTTTTAGCCTCACCCTCCAAAATAGTCTGCCCTTTAGGGAAGATATAAAGAAAGACACAGACATGTCCAGTTACTTGCATTTACTTAGGTAGCCCACTCCAAGTGACTCCTGAAAAAGGATCATGCTGAGAGAAGATTGGCTGAGACTCTTCCTGGGCACAGAGCTCCAGACACGGGTCATTGCCACTGGCATAGATGGCTGCACCTCTGTGATGTAATCCTGCTTTCCCCTAGCCTTGGCACTGTTGTGCCCCATCCAAACACAACTCCTCTGTGGCCCAATGACCTCTCCTGCTACGGCACGTGGCTCTGTCAGCGTGCCTATCACCACCAACACCGCTCCTGAGGGCACAGCAGCTCGTACCTCCATCTCCAGCCCAACATGGAGCAGCCATGGTGACCCCGCCAAAACACAGGGGACTCAATGGGGCCCGAAAAAGGACAAGTGTGCCAGTCCCTGCGGTCTCGCAACCACTGAAATGGCGGTAGAGACCCACAAAGTCCTGACCAAGTCAGCAGCCACTGCTTTGGCCTCAACCCCAGCCAGCACTGGTCCAGGGTCCAGTTCCAGCACCACCACAGCGATGCCTCCGCCCACGGGTCCTCCTGCGCGCTGAACCGTGGCACGCGCAGTAGTTAATGAAGTCATGAACAAAATCACTGGCCGAAGAGTCCTAAATCTGTGCATTCGTAGGATAGGGGTGGTGAAAGCTCCGAGGGCCAGATTTCCCTCAGCACAACCAGGTAACCTGCTCTCCGACAACCTCTACAGCGCCAAGCGCTACCGGACTACCCTTCCCAGGTTGCAGCCTGGCCCTAGCAGACAAAGACTGTCGAGGGCCCGGCCAGCCCAGGCAGGGGTGGGGAGTGGGGGCTGGTGTTGATGGTAGTTAAGAGGTCAGCTGTGCAGATTCCCTCCCTCTGCCCTCTGCTAGACCGTATCCTTCGCCTGTTGGGCTTACCCGGTGTAACTAAGCTATCAGTATGGGTATGGGCAAGAGTGCTTCTCATACAAGCCCAGCCCTCCTCCCAGGTCCACACCAAGCAAAGGGAGAGCTGGACAGGTGTAGCAGCTAAACCCAGGACATTTGGTACAGGAGGTCTGGCTACGCTGGCTGTAGGCCACAAGTGGCACATTTATTCATAATAGCCTGTACAAGACATCTCTAGAGCAGACTGAATCCAAGTAGGTCCCTGCGCGTCTGTCCATAGCTCCACCTCCCAGGCCTCCCTGTTACTGACTTCATAGCCCATGAAGTAAGCCTGGGAAGGCAGCACAAGTAGTATCATGGTTACAGGCTCCATCACTGGGTACTGGATGAAACTCTTCTATCTGGAATGATCCGAAGTTGGCCCAGCAGCTGAGACTAACCTGTCACATCTGGGAAGTTTCACCTCCACTACAGTTAATGCCACCTGGATAAAAACAGGGTTAGGGTCTGGGACCCAGTGGAGCTGTGGGATGCATGGGTTGGAGGTTAAGTGGGCTTTGCAAAGGAATAGATTGGGATGGATCAGATTAGAATAGAAACTGGTCATCTTGATTCAGCACTCCCAACAGCAGTAACCCCAGCAACTGCAGAGCTCCCAGAGGAACAGGGTAGTGCCTCCAGAAGCAGTTCCTTTAGGTCCTAGCAGAAGCACCTGCTATGTACCTACTGTCCAGGGAATGCGTCAGGAAGGATAGGAGCCCTGCCCAGGCTGGGACAAGGTGGGGGTGAGGGCTAGTGGGTGATGAGTCTCCAAAGGGCCCTAAAGCTTAGTCTCAAGCAAGGGGTAGAAGGCCTGGCCCACCTCCGGTCCTCACTGTGGGTGTGCTGGCAGGTAGTGAAGCTCCTCTAAGGTGGAAGGACACAGCCTGGGAATTTTCTCCTTTGGGCTAGGATGGGTCCATAGGGTAGGAGCACGGTTAGAGCCAGTTCCCAAGCTCTAGAAGTGCTCTGGGCCTCATAGGAGTGATCTCTTGGCTGCAGCTGACCTTCAGGAAAAGATGAGTTGAGCCCCATTCCATTCCCATAGCATGTACCAGGGCCCCTGAACCAAATAAATGGGGCAGGGATTGGGCCCATGGGGTCTTGAATGGAACCATTGCACCTAGGATGGGGAGGGACTAGGGGCACAGCCCCCAGGATCCATGGGTGTTCCAAAGTCCCCTGAGTTTCAAGTTCAGCTGATGTAGATTCGGTGGAAGTCGTGGGCACCAAAGGCTGCGTTGCACTTGGGGCACTTCCTCTGGCGGGCCTCATAGCGGCCCCGCACACACTCGAAGCAGAAAACGTGGAAGCACTTGGTAAGGACTGCATCCTTCTTGCGGGTGTTACAGCAGGGGCAGGTCAACCGCGCCTGGACCAGGCAAAGGCATCAGCTTTGGAACAATTCTGACAGTGCAGACTCTAAGCTGACAGCAGGAGGTGATTCAGGCTAAGCCTACCACATAGCAGATGTATCTAATGCTCACCATAATGTTGGAAGGTGAAAATAAGCACTCTATCATAAATAAGAAACTGAAGCTCAAGAGGCTGACATTCAAAACCAGAAGGCAGTCTGAATTCTCTCAAGGACATGGACCCGCTCAGAATCTTTTGCACTAGGGCTTTTTATCTTGCCCCACTGGCTGTCAAAATCTCGTTCTAGCTACATTCTCTTCCCTGCTTCTGTTAAAGGGATGGCAGTGCCACTAAAAATGTTTTCTCCCCTCACCTGGGCCCAGCCCTGGTGTGACCCTGAGATACTGCTGTGGATCTTTAGCTTGTCTACCACTAAGAAGGTCTTGCCTTTCCCCTCAGGCAACTGACTTGACACAGCCCAGCACTCTTCTGACCCACTTTGGAATCAATCCCCGCCCAGTCTTTTGCCTCAAGTGCCTTTCTAGTCTCCCAAGAAGTCCCACAGGCACCCTGTTCTCAGCATCCTTGAACACACTCCACTACAACTTGCTCCTACAGTTTTCCTAACTAAAAAGTACTTGTCACTTACCTTGTTTTGCAAACTAAAACTCAGGAGTCCTCCCTAATATCCCACTTCCCCTCCCCAACTGGGAATGCCCAGACTGGGACAAGGTGGGGGTGAGGGCATTCAACCCATCCCCAAATCCAAGCATCTCTGCCTCCTGAACCCACAATCTCAATGGCTTCAGTTTTAGTAAGCATTAGTCTTATCTCAGTGACTGCAGCAAACAACTTCCCTTCCCCTAACCATTACCTCCTTTATCCCAAATCCAACAGCCAACCTGTCCTTTTCAAAACCTTTTCTTAGTGGTGGAGGGTGTGGTTAGCACGCGTAAGACTCTGGGGTTTCCCCCCAACATCACCTCTTGGGGAAAAAAACCCACAGCCTTCAATGACTCCATCTTTTCTATGGCGTAAGTCAGGTCGCTCATAGCCTTCAGGATTTGCCACCTCTCCATTCCCTTTCCACCAAAAAAGACTATCAGCTCTACTGTTTCAACACACCTCTCTCAAGGCTTCCACAAATACCTTTCAGTTGTTTACACCCCCTCATCTCCATTCTCCCTGGACTCTGCCCATTGTTCAGGCTGGCCTTGGGAACCCTGCTGACTCAGGAGCCTCTAAGGGCCTCTCCTTAGTTCCTTGCCCCCCTGTCTCTTCAATCACATTACTCATGGGGATGGGGTAATTATTTGGTTGCCCTACCCCGACTACCTGTCACTTTCAGGAGGTCTCAATTCACCCATCATACATCAAACTAGGAACTACAACTGGCACATGGCAGGTGTCCACGAAGTGCTTGGCTGGAGCCTGACCTCACAGTGTTTTCTCCTATCTTATGTCCAGCGTCCCAAGACTAACTACTATACCTCTCACCAACCCCTCAGTCTAATTCCTGGGTTGACAGGGGCACAGCTCAGCCTAGTGGCCCCACCTTATACTCCTTGATCTCCTCCTGAAGAATTTCATCAGCATCTGCATAAACCTCCACCTTCCTCTGCTTCTCCAGTTTGCGCCGCAGCCGTGAAATGTCCTCCTGGAGCAGCAGAGAGGATAGCTTAAGAGTGAGGGTTCTCTCCCTTGAACAGTTTAAGCCTGGCCACACTGGCAACCCTGGCTCAGTCCACCCTCATTAGGCACACACCTGAGCCCTTTTGAGGTTGAAACTCTCTTTTTCACGAGCAGCCCGGCTCTCTGCCAGGCAAGGCTGGATCTCTCGCAGACGAGTCTGTACATGCTCCAGCTGCACCTTGAGGTCCTCAGCCAATTGGGCTGCTTCCACTGCCTGAGGTGGGTGGGACAGAAAGGAGGGGAGCCATTTGCTTGAGACTGGGGAGCACATCCACTGATGCCCATGTTACACATTTCAGCTGGATTTGTACTTGAGTTGGGCCGCCTCTAGACCCTCAGCCTTATCTCCTCCTTTCCCCTCGTCCCTGACTTGTTCCTTTCTGCTCTGTGACCCTGCACTAGGCTCCTTCCAACACACATATAATGCCCTCAGGACCTGGCTCAAATGTTGTCTCCCTACTGTGATCTGTCACAGCATTATATTGATTATATATGCATATATATATGGCTTGCTCTCTGCACATCAAGACTAGAAAATCCAGCCTTGACTGGATTTTAGAAGGCAGGGACCCTTTTTTTCCATCTGTCAGTGGTCAACATGGGTGTGGTACACAGCAGCAGTATTTTTACAAATGCCACCTCCAGGTATGGTAGTGTATGCCTACAATTTCTGTATTTTGGCTGAGGCAGAAGGATTGCAATTTTGAGTAACACCTGAACAATTCAGCAGAACCTTGTCTCAAAATTTAAAAAAGGCTGAGGATACAGCTCAGTTGGAAGGTACTGGGTTCAATCCCAAGTACCATAAAAAGTTAAAAACATTTAAGGAAATAAATTAACTGGAAAGAAAACAGCCTGACAGGGGAAATAATACAAAATTAATGTTAACCTTAAGCCTTTGCCATAAACGAGAAATTTCTTATGTTTGACAAAAGTATGTGGCAGGACCATTGAGTGGTTAGGATGCAGGTCTTAGAGCCAAGACCTGGACTCAAATCCCAGCTTCATTCCTCCTTAAACAATTCAACTGGCCTCCCTATACCTTGGTTTTCTGACTTGTGAAATAAGGACAAGCCAGACATGGTAGTACCCTAATCCCAGCACTCAGTTTAGAGGCTAAGGCAGGAGAACTACAGTGAGTTTGAGGACAGCCTGGGCTACACGGTAAGTTCAAGGTCAGCCTACACTACACAGTGAGACCCTGTCTCAAAAAAACACAGCAAAACAAAACAAATGGGGACAACAAAAATCATCCTGGTAGGATTACTGTGACACTGCAATGTGACCAAGCATGTTAAGTTCTGAGCACAGAGGCCAGTGCACAAGTAAAGGCTTGATATTTATAAGCTAAGCTAGCCTGTAAGAAGAGGTAGAACTGGTCTTTGCCTTAGTCTCCACATCAGGTTCCTCAAGCAGAATCAGAGGGAAAGGGTGTGAGCTGGTGACCTCTGCCTTTCCTCACCTTCCTTTTGTTGAGCTCCAGGGCCTGGCTGCGCAGAGTCAGCTCCTTCTCCACTCCCCCAAGGCTGCCCTGCAAGGCCCGCTCCTTTTCCTCCAGCTTCTGCACGGTCAACAACTGGGCATCCACCTGAGGATGGGGGGCCTCAGTACTGGGAACCCCACCTTTCCGGTGCCACCCAGCAAACTCCACTCTGGGGTGGCTGTACCTGGGATTTGAGACCAAGAACTTGCTCGCCCAGCTCATCCTTTTCCTCCCGAAGAAGCTTGTGAATCTGGTTGGCCTTGATCCGCTCTGACATTAGCTTAAAGTTGGCATCGTCCTTTTCCCGCAACTGCTGTAGTAGCCGCCCATTCTGTTCCTGCATGTCCTCAAAAGCCTGACCTGTCACATCCATCTCGGACAGCAGAGCCTCTTCTTCCTGTATCAGGCAGGAAGGGATTAAATGGGAAGTACTAAGTGGATACAATAGCTATGCAGGAACCACAGGAAAACATGGCTAAGAACCACAGAGCAAACTAGCCACCATGGTGTATCTGCTAGAAGAACCCACAGAAGGCTAAGAGAATCCCAGCTTCCAGAAGCAAGGGGACCACAAGGGGTCACACCTGCTTTGTAGCACCCAATTTGCGTTGTAAATGTTCAATTTGCTCCTCTGCCTGCCGAATGCGCCGAAGGGCATCCTCATCTGCAATCTTCTTGCTCTCCCTTCGATCCCTTTCCTCCAGTTCCCGGATGCGACTCCGCAGTTCATCAACCTACAGCCACACAAGGGAGCTCTGTCACTGCTTCCTGCTGAACCAGGGCTTAGCTCTGGTCAAAAGCCCATGTAATGCCTTTAAGCATGGCTGCCAAGCCCTACCTGCCCTCACCTCAGCCTTAGCCTTGCGTTCAGCTGCCATGAGCTGCACCTTGTCCCGCTGCTCCTTGGGGGCAGACTTGTACATATCCAGCAGCAGCTTCATCTCCTTCTGGCTTTCCTGGGCCTTCCTGGAGGAGTGTGAGGGAGGCTTGGTAAGTAAAGCTGTAAGCCACATGACAGGGACAAGACAGGGTCTTGACAGGGACAAGAGAAGACAGCAACAGGGGCCTCACTTGAGCTCTCCTCGGAGACCCTTGAGCAGTTCTGACTCCTTCCTCTTGACTTCCTCCACCTTGGCCTTCTCTCGATCAGCCCTTGAGAGAGCTGAGGCTACAGGTAGAGGTCCCAGGCTAGGCCCTTCCCGTTCCCGAAGTTCTCGCTTAGGCCTGGTCTCAGGTTCTCGGGCCCGGGAGGAAGGGCCCTGGGTCCCAGGGGTTAGAGACTGGGCATCCTCTTCAGAAGGGACCAGCTCCTCCTTTTTCACTGAGGAAGTAGTAGTGGTGGCACCAGGTACTAATGCTATCTCCTTTCTGCTGTCGGGAATAACAACAGGGCCTGGCCCACTCTCTTCTTTGCCTGGAGCTGGGGTACCAAGGCCAGAGTCCTCTGGGTGGCCCAGGTTGGGGATGGAATGGGTAGAACCACTGGCCTGGGCCCGGAGCTACAAAGACAGGAAGAGGAATGTGAGTCAGTACTTAACTGGAGTCTACCCAAAGCTTTTCTAGGCAACACTGTCCTCACCTTGCCAATCTCAGCCTGTACTTCTCGAAGCTTCCGCTTGTATCGCTGGGCATCCCCTTTCAGCTGGTGGTTGTGATTCTGGAGACTGCTAATTAGGTGGCGCATCTCACGGTTGATAGGCCCTAAAAAATATTGGGAAGGAAGCGTGTCAGACTAGTACTTGTTAGAGCACCAACCCCTAGCAGAAGAGACTTGGCAGATCCAATACTATCCCTGGGAGGGAAGAGAAGACTGAGGCCTTAATAGTGTGACCTCATTTAAGCAGATAATGCAGACTCAAAGAAACTTTCCAGAAAGAAACCTGCCAGGATCTATCTGTACTATTTTTGCTAGGGCAGAATTTTTTAAATCTCCAATAGGTAACATTCACAAATGTTCAATCTGTTTCAGATTCTTAAATGTCATCTCAATTACTTATCTAGTCTACCATCCCAAGCTGAAGCACCCTTTGTCCAGATAATTCCCATCTTCCTTTCACATTTCTTGGTATCTACCAATATGCACATAAAAATTGTTTTATTGTTCCTTCATTGGAACATTGTTCAAAATTGGCAGGGATTCTTCATGTTTTGTACACTCACACAACTGCAACACCTAGAACAGGCCAGGGTCACAGGTGATACTCAGTAAGTTTGTGTAAAACAAATGCATTCCAAAGGAAGATACCAGAAGGCCAGAGAATCCCAGCGGGAGGAACAGCTCATATTCTGGCCGTGCCTGTTCTATCAATCGTATCAGCTGGATGTGATATGATTTGCCTGTGAGCCAGTGCAGTCCCTGCTTTCTGTGGGAAGCTAAGGGTCAGCAAAATGAAAAGAGCTCCCAATTTAAGTACCCCCCCGGACTGATCTTCTACATACCTGCCTGCTCATTGGCTGCCAGGTTCTGTTCAAACTCGATGCGCAGCATCTCATACTCCTTGCGTACCTGGGCTAGCGTGTCCTCCAACTGGATAACCTCCGTGCGCAGCTTTTTCTGTAGTCCCAGCTCATCACTCTGTGGATTCAAGCGACAAAGAGCCACACACTCTCTCAGTACCACAGCAGGTCTAGAAACCTCATGAAGGATCTATTCTGGAGGAACCTATGGCAGCTACACTGGGCTTCAAAGCTAAGGAGCAATGCTAAAGGTCTGACCTCATCCCCATACCACGTCCCAGGACCAGACCTCCATGTGCTCAATGTGTCTCAAATGGGAATTCTTAGTGGCCAGCAGCAAGCCCCGGGCCTCATCCAGCTGGGTCTTCACTTGCAGGGACTCATTGTAAAGCAGTGAGAACTGGGCTTGCAGCATACGGTACTCTCCAGTCTCACGTACCACCTCCTCAGGAAGGCTCCGCAGGGCCACCTAAGAGCAAGGACACACATGAGTGAGAGGATTTGGAGATCTGCCACTGTATGTTGCACACGTAGGCCCTCTCACTGCCAAATATAAGCCTACCTTGAGGCGTTCGTTGGTCCTCACAGCCCCCTGAAGTTCAGCCTGCAGCTTCTCCAGCTCTGCCATGCGGCTATTGGCCAGCTCCTGGTTTTCCTCCAACTCTGCATTCAACATCTCAAACTAAGGAATGGAAGGGGCTGTGGTAGGCAGGACCAAGATGGGCAGCATCTCCCCTCACACCCCGTCACACGTTCTACCCAAGCTCACTGCGCAGAACATGGATGGACTTTGAAGCCCCAAACCAAAGACTTTCTTCAGGGCCCCCAAACAAGCAGGAGGAAATTCCATGCTGCATGGGATACTGGATACTGGAAACTAAGGTTCTTATGTGACAAATGTTGTTGAAAACCTAAATAAGCTCAAGTACAAGGTAAAAAAGGTGCAGGGACCTCAAAATGTCAATGGACCCTAGTTCCCATTTATCTCTTTCTGTGCCTTTTTTTCCCCCACGTGTGCAGTACTTATAACTAACTGATGTACTGTTTTGGTTTTTTTTGTTGTTGTTGTTCCTTACCTATTACCCCAAGTGGAACCAACACTCTATGAAGCTCTGGTTTTAACCTATCCATCCTCTCCAAATTGCCTAGCACTTAGTGCTTAGGATTTATTAGCTAAGTAAGAATACAAGTGACTGAAAGAAGGCTCCGAGAAATGAAGGGAACAGGCTCAGAGGTACATGTTTGCCCTTTGTTCTCAGGGGAATTTCAGGGGAGTATCAGAGAAAAAGCTACAAGAGAGATTGGGAGGAAGGTGGTTGCTTACCTTCTGCATGCTGAGTGTTATCTGGCCCCCCTGGAAGCCTGAAGAGCTCCCAGAAACGTAGTACCCAGAGTTCAGCTACACAAAAAGAGAAAGCTGATGAATGTGAAGCACAGGAACTAGGTTCTCAGACCCAGCTCTATCTGCCTTGGCACCCAGCTTTACCTGCTCCAAGGCCTCTGCCAGATGCTTATTGAGCTTTTGCTCTCGTTTGCGCAGCTTCTCAATATCCCACTGTAGGTCCTCCACCGTTGTCTCCATCTCGAGCACCTTGGTTTCAGCTGATGTCACTTTATCCTGGAGCTCAGAGTACTGGGTACAATGGAAGGAAAGATCAGAGTTTTCTGAGATCCTTGGGTATTCACCTTACCCAAACTCTGCCCTGATACTAATTCTACCCCAAAAGCTTGACTCACCTCCAGTGAGATTCGGTGATGCTTCTCTTGCAGCTGAGTGGCTAAGTCCTGTAGTCGCCGGTTCTCTCTGCCCAGCTCTCGGGTACGTGCCCAAGTCACCTCACTGGGAGGTTCTCCATCCCCTAGGAAGGTAAGGCCCAGATAAGAGGCAAGTCCTGAGCAAGAGGGCAATGTACCAACTCTCTGGAGTTTGCTAGGTGCACAATGTGATCTATGAGGTGTCTTGGTTATGTGTCAAAACAAACTAAGATGTTTTCATTTTGGTTTTGGATTTTTGAGACAAGAGTTTCACTATACAGTTCAGACTGGCCTTGAACTCCTATGTAGCCCAGACTGCCTTTGAGTTTGTGGTCATCATCTTGCCTTTGCATCCTGAGTGCTAGGATTCAGAGGTGTGTGCCACCATACCTAAGTAAAGTAAATTTTTATTTCCACTGTACAAAGGAGGAAACCAGTTCAGAGAAGATGGCTTTTTGCCTCAAAAGATCAGACTAAGGAGGAAAAACTACAGATAGGAGAACCTTGTTAACATGCAAAGCCTTGTGGATCAACTGCCACTAAAGTTTGCATAACACTCAAAGAGGCTAAAGCAGGACTGCTTTGCATTTGAGCTACACAGTGAGTTCAAGGCCAGCCTACACTACACAGTGAGACCCTGTCTTCAAAAAGAAACAAACAAACAAACAAAAAATTGAAAAAAAAATTGCACAAAGTGCTCCAGAGACGTGTCTAGCCAGATGGAGGTGATGATCCTACAAGCATCAACTACTCTCGAAACTTATCTCTCTAAAGTTGTATTCCAGGAATCCAAGCTGAAATCCTCTATCTACAGAGTAACCTTTTCCCCCAAGAACAGGCTGATTAATTTCTCATGGAATTCTGGGGTAAGGGCATTAGCATGATGGGGGTGGGGGATAAGGTACAAGGCCATATACATCAAGAATAGGGATAGAAAGAACTAACCTCGGCTGTATACTCGCTGACAGAGTTCCTCTACCTGGCGCTGCAGGCAGTCTGAGGCCTCTACCAACCGGGACACAGCTGCCTTGGAGAATTCCATCCGTCCCTGTAGCTGCAGCTCCACTTCCTCACTGCTGCTGGCACCCAATGCCACCACAAAAGCCAAAGCTGGCTCACTGAGAGGGGGTCGCAGCTGCATTGGTAGGACTTCTGGGAGAGAGGGACAGACCCTTATGAAAATGACAGTGCCTATCATTCTGAACCAAGTTCCAAAGTCAGTCCTTCAATTCTCCATGGCTCCCTTGGCACAACCTGTAATACACCAATATTCTCCTGACAGGAAGACAACTGAAGTTTGGGGAGGTAAAGTCATTTCCTCAAGGATATGGAGCTGCCAAAAGACTTCATCAAGGATGCTTTCTCTACCTCCTCAGTTTACCTAGAACCCAAAAAATGTGCACTCACATTTACTGACCCACTGTCAGGACCCTAACATTTTTTACTTATGGTGTAGAATAATTTCCTTCCTCATGGCAGGAATACTTCTTTCTGTTTATCTTTAATTTCTTCAAGTCTAGAAAAGTGTTAAGTCAACATTCAATATTTTTTTTCTCTTTTGAATTACTAGAAATTGAACCCCAGGTCTCTACATCTTGGTTTTGATGTTTGTTTGTTCTGTTTTTTAAGTCAGAATCTTGCCAAGTTTTCAAATGGCCTTGAAATTGCCTGCCTTACCCTCCCACAGTGCTGGAATTACAAGCATGCACCACCATGCCCAGTTAACAATACTTTTTAACTAAAAGGGTGGCAACATGAATACAAGTATGAATCAAATTAAATTCTAAGACCTCTGTTCCTATTGCCTTTATTACCCAAACATGAAATCAACTTTTCAAGGGTAATAGATGAGACAGGCATTTCAGGAGCCCTAAATCAAAAGACCCTTCTTACCCAGGACCTTTCCTAGAATTTAAATTCCCCAGATCCTAAAGCCCTACCCCTCAGTTCTGATGTCCCTGGCTCCATTAGAGGGATCACATCACGCGTTGGCTTCTCTTGGGTCCCAGGTGCCTCTGGTCCTGTAGACAGGTCCCGTTGTCTCTCATGGCAACGAAGGAGGGTTTCCACAGTTTCATCCAGCTGAAGGGGAAAAGCACCAAGAGTGCCATAAATTCCTCAGTGTTTTCCAGCATGATTCTCCTTCCCCAGCAGGGCAATCCCAGAACTGGCAACTGTATCATGGTCAGGTTTTTGAAAGCAAAAGACATCAACCTGGGCCCAGTATCGATTGACAATGAGGAGTGTGGCATCATCTGTGGCCTGCCGCTTCTCTAGCTTTTCAATTCGTTCTCGGAGTTCATCTTCACAAGCTTGTCGCTGTTCTAATCGCTCTGCTAGTTTCTTGTTCTTGAACTGCAGTACCTTCAAGTCCATCTCCTCCTACCAAGAAAAGCAAAAAGTATATATGTTAAGTAAGTTATAACAGTGGGAGAAATTATAACAGTGGGAAAATAAGCAAAATGAATAGAAGAGGAATACTTCCAAACTGCCTACCAACAACATTTAAAAAGGCTCAAACACCACCAGAAAAGCATCTTGGTTATGAAAGGGCTTAAGTTATGCTTCTGCCTCTTTACTTATTATTTTTGAGACAAGAGCTTGCTCCGCAGCCCACACTGGCCTCGAACTCATGGCAATCCTCCTGCCTCAGCCACCTGAGTGCTGAGATTACAGGCATGCACCACCATGCCCATCTTGTTATTATTTTTTTTAGACAAAGTTTTGATATTTAGTTCAGGCTACCCAGAAGCTCCTAGCCCAAGCTGACCTCAAATTCGCAACAATCCTCTTGGAGGCATGCACCACCATGCCTGGCTTCTGTGCCTTTCTAAGTCTGACATATCATGAGTACTGTGGGAATCTGGTTTTTCTATCCATAAAGGGAAGGCAAATGTCCTAGTCTCATTTTCCTTCAGTAGAATATGGTAAAAAGCGCACTTTGCTAAACTTGGGAAACTGGCAATAAGATTCTGGGCAGTCTGGACAGAAACCAGAAACTAGAGTTTAGCCAAGTTCTCACGACTAGGATAAAAGCCCACGAACCGTGGAAGAAATGCCTCCAAGACGAATGGGCTCGATAAGAGTGGTTGTGGTCTTCTCCTCGCGGTTCAGCTTCTTCTCTGGGGGCCCTGAGCCCCCATCGCCCGCGGCGCGTTTGCTGCCTGGCCCAGACATAGCTGCTGTGGGCAGGGCGGAGCAGCGCAGAATCCCCCAAGGGGCTTCAGGCGAGGTGAAGCAACACTTCCGTTATCTGCAGGAGACAGAACAGAAATGCAGAAGCTGACAGTGCGCTACAGTCACGAGCCTCTCTCCTACATACACCCACTAGATTCTGTCCTTACCAGCCCCGAGGCCCTCACCGAGACTAGGATGAACCTAGCGCCGCCATCTTGGATTCCACCGGACGTCACCAACCTCTTCTGCACAGGGCGCAAGCGCCAGAGGCTGCGCCGGATATGGCGAGACTTCTTCATTTTCTGTATCTATTGGTGGGGCTTAGTCCCGCCTCTCAGATCGTTTGGCTACTTCCCTAATACCTCTTTTTGCATTCAGTGATTGGCCAGTAGGAGGTTCCCATGGTAACTGACACCACACTCCTATTTGGCCAGCGCTAAGAACACCAGTCCACCAACAGCAACTTGCAAGAGGCACGTAGGTGGGCAGTTGCAATTTATTACGCATGCGCACTTACTCATCACTGACTGCGTACTTGAACTTTCCACCTTTCTCTTCCCTAGGCGCCCCCTTAGCTACGGTCACCATGGTGACGGGGGGAGACGCCTTCCCTACTATTGGCGTAGATTGGCTGAAGAACTACAACAAGCCCAGGCCTTGGGAATTGCTGCCGAAAACGGCTCGTCCCAAAACCCAGGTGTGAGGGCTTGTGGTATGCGGAGGACGAGATGATAAGCCCAAAACCAAGCCAATCCCTGGGAGTCAAGGTACAATCCAAGCTTAAACAGCTATCTGAACCACAAGGGAAACTGGAAAGGTATCTTGGCTCATTGGTTGGATCAGCCACGCAGACAGGAATAGGTGTGCGGAGAACAGCCTCATCCCCTGTGATAGCAGATGAAGATCCTGAAGTTAACTTGTTTCCGGTGAGAACAGAGTGGGCCCCTCCTCGTTACCTTTGCTAACGTTCCTTCCCGGCCACCAAGAAAGAGACAGAGAGTGTGTGACCTTCATTGTTAAATATGCTCATAAGTAGTACTTGTGGCCTACTGGAACCTTGACCCACCCGCATGCTCCACATAGTCCTAGAGATGGGAAGGCAAATTTTAGCCACATTCTCAACACCTCAGCCCCCGAGGAGATTCAGGATGGACCAGGGACTAGGGGCCAGGTGCAACACAGCTCTTCCTTACCCAGTCCAATTTCTCTCAACAGCCGCCACTGCCCCAGCCCCGGATCTGCATGTGGTGAGTGTGAAGAGCCCTTGGGAAAAAGTTACACTTCATAATTGTTTCCTCAACAGTCCTGTCCAACAGCCAATTTATTTTACAAATGAGATTAAGACTCAGCAATGCAGTTGTTCAAGGTAGCTAGAAGCCAACTTTCCAGGCTCACCAATCCAAAGAGGCAGTATGAAGACAGCCAAGGACTGAGGATATAAATGAAAATGCAATGTCATAACTGCCATAGAGCGCTGTACAAATACAGATACTGAAGTCCACTGTGAGGCTCACCAAACCCATAAGTGGCAAAGCAAAGATAAGAACTTGTTTCCTAATTATACACTTTATAAATGGAAAGGATCATCAGTTTAGGCTGTATACCTCAATTCCTGGTGGAAAAAAGGAGGTCCACAGAGTTAAGTGACTTGCCAAAGGTTACACAGCAAGTCATCAGTGAGAGAGCCAGAGCCAAGGCTCAAACACAGCTCTCTTGATTCCAGGTCTGATGCGCTAGTGATCATAGCCATGTCATGAAACTAGCATATACTAGGCACTAATACCTTGTCTCCTCTTCTCTTACAGGAAATACCTGGACATCCATTCAATGCACCAGCTGGAGAAGACAGCCAGTGTTGAGGAGATGAGAGAGTATGGGACCAATCAGGGTGGGGGAAAACTCTTAGGGAGGGAAGTCATGAGAAACAGCTAGCTCCAAAGTACATGGTGATCGTAGGGTGGTGAAAGAAGGCTCTTGTTGTTGCTCACTCCTTTTTCTCTCACCAAGGGTGCTGGCTAAGCTGCTGGAGATTGGCTGGCCTGAGCAAAGCTTGCAGGATGCCATCACCCTGGACCTCTTCTCCCATGCCCTCATCTTCTGCCACCAACAAGGCTTCTCAATGGAGCAGACATCAGCAGCTTGTGCTCTGCTCCAGGATCTTCACAAGGCCTGTGTTGGTGAGAGTGAGGCAGCTATCAGAAAGTTGGAGCTCCAGGGATAGGAGGAGGTCAGGCTGACACAAGTGACCATGGGCAGCAAAAGCGGGGAATTACATGGAATGTTCTCTCATTATTAATTGTAGTGTTGCACATGTTACTTCTTTTGAAATTCTCCTTATCAATAAATTAAGTACGCAGCACTAATTTTATAGGACAGTTTGGTGATAATAGATGCTGTGTTCCTGGGTTTTTTATACTCAAACTGATTTTCTTCGGAATGTTTAATAGCTGAAATTACATATTTCTTCTATTGTGTTTCACTAGAATATAAATTCCCTGAAGACAGGATCTTGTCTGTTTTCTTCAGGACCTAGAATGGTACATAGTTGAACAGTTCAGTTGAATGAATTAACAAACAAGTGAGGATTAAACATAGATCTGTCTACTTCTGAAGCTCATACCCCCTAAGAAGTAAGATGAAGGAATGGATACCAGGGAAGGACTCACTGCGGCACCTTTTTTTCTCTCCCAGCAACCCCCTTGGGCAACGTGGAAGAATGTTACCGCCACTTTACTACTGCTCTTTTCTGCCATGGAGTCAGGGTCAGTATCCTGGAGTGGGTTTCTCACCCACCTCTGGACAAGGTTTTACCCTGTCTCCTGTCCATCAACCTCACTTTCTTCTGAAGGCTGTAGTGGGCTCTCCCTGCTCCTAGACCGCTGGGGTCTTAGAGGAAGGGCCAGGGCTTCAGGAGGCCCCCAGGGCCAACTTGCACTCCTCACTACAGCGGCCTCCGTTCAGCATTGACCTCTTTAAGGAAGAACAGCTTCTGGCCCTGGCAGACTATGTGGTCAGCACCTATTTCCGCCACTTCAAGCTCTACAAATATGTGTTCACACCAGAGGTACTATGCCATGGGGGTACAAAAAGTCAACCCTCAGTACAGGTGCCTTCGTCTCAGCCTCCCTTTCTCTCTTCCCAGGTGCGGCTAGATTTGTCTTTGACTTACATGGGGCTACAGCCACCCAAGCCCTGGCCAGAGAGTAAGACAGGTATGGGAAAACAGGGTGCTACAGTTGGGCCATGCCTGGGGCTGAGGCTTCTTGTTTCTGCTTTGCAGAGAAAGAAGGCCAAGGAGCAGAGGAGCAGGCAGCTATCCAACAAGAAGAACCAGAAACAGTGGCCCAGTCAGAGCAAGAGCCAAGTGAGCACCTGGAGGGGTTCGGTATTCTGTGACTCTGAGCAGTTGTAAAATGAGGGTTTGGGGTGGCACTGTGCAGTTCAGGCTGACTTGAACTCACTTTGTAACTCAGGGTGGCCTCAAACTTGCAGTGATGTTCCTGCGTCAGCCTCCTGAAGACTTTTAGTTTTAGTTTAGTTTGTGTCCTCTCCAAACGATTCCTTACGCAGAAATCCATGACAAATGGATAAGGGCACATCAGCTGGGTATGGTGGCCCATGTCTGTAATCCCATCACTTGGGAGGCTGAAGCAGGATTGTTACAAGTTCAAGGCCAGCCTGGGCTACATAGTGATTTGAAGGTGGCCCTGTACTCAATAGCAAGACCTTGTCTCAAAACAACAAAAAAAGAGCAGATCTACGGGGAGTTAGGATAGGGGAGGCAGAAGAGGCAGTTCAAAAGATGTGCTTGGACAATGAATGACAGTAATAGCTAGCACAGGTTTGGCCATAACGTGTGCCATAATTTAAGCATTTGATGTATATTAACTCAGTCCTCCCCTATTCCTACATACTAGGTATTATTACCCACACTTTACGCAAGGAACGAGGCATGGAAAGATTAAATAACCTAAGGTTATACAGTTGCCAAGCTGGAGTTAGAATGTAAGTCCAGGGTATAGTATAGGTACTCTGAGCCCAACTGTCTTTCTCAAGGGCTGGCTGCCATTTCCTAACCTGAAGCAACACTGCCCTCTGTGTAGCCCGTAGGGTCAGATACCCAGGGTCCTGTGTTCACCCAACTAGGGACAGTGCCCCAGACGGTTTCTCTCCTCACCTGCCTCTTCCCTGCCTCTGCAGGCCAGGTTTGTGTCCTCCGAACCTACATCAAGACCCAAGTGAATAAGGAGCTAGGGCAACTCCAGAAGCTGGTGGAAGAGCAGCTCAAGGCCAGTGAGGAAAGGCTCAGCAGCAAGTTGACTACCCTAGAGCGGCCTTCCCAGGTATCTTCCAGCAAAGGCAAGAACAAGATTAAGTGATTCCTAGCAATTTCCCCAATAAAAGCCAGAGCCACAGCATGCCATTCCCACCCCCCACCCTGAGCACCCTGAGTTGAAGCCAGTCAGCAGACACAAGACACTCACTACCCGCAGTGTGGAACAGATTTTATTTGAGATACAGCAGAAGCAGCACTGATGAGATTGGGCATGGCATTTGGAATGGCTCTCTTCCACCCCACCTCTCATCTCTAAGCCTTGACCACCAGGGGTAGGCGTACAGAGTTGGTCTCCATGATCGTAGCATGACCAGTAGGGCTAGGCAGAGGGCCTGAGGCAAGGGCCTACAGGGGCTGGAATGGTTCAATCCTCCTGAGAAGTCCTGCTTTCTGAGCTTACTCAGGGCTAAGGTCCAAGCTCAGCACCTGTACACTCATCCTCAGTGACAGGAGCACAGTCTCCCTCCTCTTCAGCACCAATGAGAGGAAAAGGCCCAGGGGGTTGGTGCTGGAAGAGGGCTGCTCGATTCTGCTGCTCCCCCTTCTTCACCCAGTGCCCATAGAGCCGAAAGGCACAGTTGTCAATGAGGCGCCGCACTGGCCGCAGTGCATAGGGATCCCTCAACAGTGCACTCTTGGTCATTGGCCGCATACGGCGGGCACTTAAGGCCACTCGTCCAGCAGCCAGCACTGTCCACACTGCCACCTATAAAGAGGGAGCAGTATGAACTCCAGTACAGCACCCACACAGGAGAAAGGTCTTAAGGCAGGCATAGATGCAGACTGTGCTGCCAGGCTTACCCGGAATCGCTGGTGGGGTGTAAGGTTCCAGAGTTGGCTGCCTTCACAACGCTCAAAGAAGGGATGCTGGAGGGCCTGCTCAGCTGTCAGGCGTTCTTCAGGATCTACCTGCAGCAGCCTTGAGATCTAGGGAAAACCCCAGAGTATGAGGGGCAGGCCTTGGGCCTTCCCCACTGTCCTTTGATGGACCCAGCTCACCAGGTCTTTGACTGTGTCAGAACGGTCATCCCACTCAGGTGAACTGAACTGGTACCGGCCCTCCATGATCATGCGTAACATCAGGATTTGGCGTCGGTGCCAGAATGGGGGTGAGCCAGCCAGAAGTGTGAAGAGGATCACCCCACAGGCCCAGCTAGGAAAGAGAATAGTCAGGTAGGTCTAGCTAACAGGCAGGTGTGAAGGGCAGTACACGTAGGAGAGATAGGGAGAACAAAAACTTACAGGTCTACCTCCTTGCCATATCCTGGGTGGGTTTCATCCATGGAACATTTCAGGATCTCTGGTGCTAGATACCCTGGTGTCCCACACAAATCTAGGGAGAAAGGCAGAGATTGAGGGGATGCCACCAACCCCCTTCAGGGCCCTGAGCAGTAGATGTCTACTGGAACCACCTCACTGTCTGAATCACTGGTGGTTTTGTTCTGCATGTGCCTACTTCCTGCTTAGCCTCAGAACTATATAGTGTCTCTGCCAAAAAAATTCAAGTAGCCATCAAGGCTCCCAGTAGCCATCCTAAGTAAACCTGGTTAGGGGATGGACTTTAAGGTCTTAGCCAACCACATCCTTTACCTCCTCCACCCTACTGGCCAAACCAACCCACCCATCCACTTACAACTTACCACATTTTAAAATACATCATAGAAATGGAAAAGAAAATTTAAATATTTGTATTCTTTTTTGTCAATACCTAATTTCCATTCTGGTTAGTGGAATCACTACTCAACCCAAAGAGAACAAGTGGAATTACAGCTTTCTTTTTTTTTTTTTTTTGTCTTTTTCATTTTTATCGGTACCGGGGATCGAACTCACGACCGCCTGCTTGCAAGGCAGGTGCTTATGCCGCTGAGCTAAACCCCCAGCCCCTAATTACAGCTTTCTTAAAAGCACATATTGGGAGCTGGGCATGGTGGCACACGCCTGCAATCTCAGCAGTTGGAAAGCTGAAGACAGGAGGATTACTGCAAATTCCAGGCCAGTCTGGGCTACATACAGAATTCAGGACCAGTCTGAACTGCATAGTGAGAATCCGTCTCAAAAAGGAAAAAAAAAAAAAAAAAAGCACACACTGGGGCCCGGCATGGTGGCACACACCTGTAATCCTAGCACTCAGCAGGCTAAAGCAGGAGGATCACTGCAAATTCGAGACCAGCCTGGGCTATGAAATGAGCTGAAGGCCAACTTAAACTGCACAGCAAGTCAGTCTCAAAAAGGAAAAAAAAAAAGCGCACATACACTGGGTAAATCCCTTGTGCAAAACCTTCCAGCTTCCCCATAATGGCATCAAGGTCTGGGACTCTAAGGCCCAGAGCCTTCCATGACTGTACTTGATCCAATCAACACTCCTAGTATATATTCTAGCACTTTAGCCAACCAATTCTTTCATTCTAACAATTCCCAGATGGCATATTTCCAGATTTTAATAGGGCTAAGTTGAAAGTTACTTTCTCGGGAAAGTCATACAAATAATACTTATGGGATGCTTTGTATATATCAAGCATCCTGGTTAGACACAGAATTAGATATGCCCTTACTAAAGTCACTCCCTTCTGGAAAAGAACAGTATAAGAACTGTGTCATGAAAGATACAGAAACGGGCTGGGGATTTAGCTCAGCAGCCTAAATGCCTGCTTTGCAAGTGCTGGGTTGTGAGTTTGATCCCCGGTACTGATTTAAAAAAAAGAAAAAAACATACAGAAACAAAAAACCAGGCCTGACCTAACCTGGAGGCTTAAAGTGAAAACTAGTTACTCAAACTGAGGAAGAGGGTGGAAGAGGCAGGACCAAAGATGATTTCAGAAATAAGTGTATGCAGGAAGTAAGGTGCAATGGCACATGCCTATAATCTCAGCTACTCAAGAGACTGAACCAGGGGATTTACAAGTTCAAGGTCAGTGTGGGGAACTTAGCAAGACATTGTTCAAATTAAAAAAGGGGATACAGTTTGGTCGTAGAAAGCTTACCTGGCATGTATGAGTTCCTTGGTTCAATCATTAATACCCCCCCAAAAGTGTTTTTGTTCAAAAGGAACTAAAGTACAACATCCATAAAATGTGAAGTCCAAAAGCTACACACTAAGTTCAAGTCAGACTGCCCAAGTTCAAATCTTGGCCAAATTATCTCTTTAAACCCATCTATTAAAAACAGATACAAAGGGCTGGCTTTAGCCAAGCGGTTCCTTCGAGTCTGGCTTCCCAACCGCCTGGGCCGATTGGTTCGAGACCCGCGGGCGCTCTCCAGTCCTTTAAAAAAAAAAAAAAACAGATACAAATACTATCTGTCTAAGGGTTGAAATGATTCTAAGAAATCAGCCATATAAAGGCTTTCTGTGCCTTTAAATCCCCAGTAAGTCATCTATTAATAAATCCAGGGCAAGCTAGGTGTGCTGGCACACATTTATAACTCCAGCACTCAGGGAGACTGAAGCAGGAGGATTGCAAGTTCACGTCCAGCCTGGGGAATATAGGGAGACACTGTCTCAAAAAATAAAATGAGCTATACAGGTACAAAGGCCCTGGGGTCAATTTCCAGGTATTGCAAAATAACAAGAATAACAACACTAGTAATAATGCAAAGCTATTATAGCACAAATTATTAGCATATTAAAAGCTCCCAAGAGGGCTGGGGATGTAGTTCAATGATAAAGCGCTTACCCAGTATGTGCAAGGCCTGGGTTTAACACCCAGTACTGCAAAAGAAAAAAAGAGAAAACAAAAAAGCTCTGAGGATCCTTCACAGTTGAACTTAGTTTAATCTCTCTCCTTTGCACTAGAAATACTTTTTGTTGTAGGTGTGGTGAAACACACCTGGAATCCCAGCACTCAGAAGACTGAGGCAGGAAGATCACTGCCTCAGGTGGAGGCCAATCTGGGGTACTCAGTGAGTTCAAAGCCAGCCTGAACTTCATAGCAAGACCAAAACACAAAACAAATACTTCTTGTCATGACAAATGTATTAGTACTTGGGTAAGCCCACGTACCAGGATCTAAGATAGAAAGTTACATCAGGGTGTCTGGACATACCAGGCTTCCAGCACTGTGGTCCTATTCATCCAGACCTTCAAATACCACTGGTGAACCCTCATTCCCTCTTTCCTTCTGGGACAAGGCCCAGCCTGAAGGGCCTTCTCAGACTAAATTTGTGCTTCTTCCTGGCTTCCATAATGTGGCCCTTTGCCAGCTGAGCGCCAGTATGCCTTCTCACATGTTTCCATCTCCCAGGTCAAGACCATTCTGAGCTACATAAAAATCATTGTGTCCAGAGGGTACTTGCCAAGTGGTTACTTCCTCAATACCCAGTATGGAGATCCAGCCAACCAACTTCAGGTCTGGATCTCCTTCCCTCCCAGGTCTTTTAGGGAATCAGGTTCCCTCACCTCGAAGCTTCTCTCCAGGTTCCAAGTGGCAGGAGAACCCAAAATCTGAGAGTCGGATCTGCATATTGTCATCTAGGAGAATATTCTCAGGCTTCAGGTCTCGGTGTACAATGTTGTTGGCATGGAGAAAGCTCACTGCTTCCAGCAGAGACCTCATGATGGACCTAGGGGAGGTGCAGTCTCCTACTCTTGCCTCTTTCTGCCCACCCACTCCCTGTTAATCCCAGGGGCTACAGGGTCTGCCATTACCTGGTCTCCTTCTCTGAGAGGGCCACCTTCTCTGTGAGATAGTCAAACAGCTCTCCCTTCCGCATCCTAAGGGACAGCACGGGTATAGGAGGCAAATGCACCCCAGTGTGGAGGCTGAGAAAATGAGCTGGGGCTCATATAAAATATCACAGAAGAGGCCAGTTGTGAGATTCCTCTGGAGATGAGCCAAAGGGTCAGCCAACAGAGCACTCCAAGAGATTATTAGATGCCAGGGCAGTTTGTCCTAGGGGGGGTTAGTGCTTGACATGACTTCACTGTGCCATGGTGGGGCTCTTTTACCAACAGTGCATGACTTTTCATGACATAATTTACAAGTAGACCTTGTTATTTGTGAATAACTATACCTAAAAAATGCCTCTTAAAGTGAATCTATTTAGAATGTGAGCCAAATTTCAGTTAATGGTGGCAAAAAGGTTGAAGAGGATTTATTTAGAAATCCATCTTGCTTTTATCCTATCTTTTTCTTACTTTTTGTCTTTTTCCTTTTTATCGGTACCAGGGATCAAACTCATGACCACACACTTGAAAAGCAGGCGCTTATGCTGCTGAGCTAAACCCCCAGCCCCACCCCCCTTTTTTAATCGGTACTGGGGACCGACCTCACGACCGCCTGCTTGCAAGGCAGGTGCTTATGCCACTGAGCTAAATCCCCAGCCCCTTTTTACCCTATCTTTAAAATTGAGGTTGTAATTATACTCCATCAATCCTCCAGTAGTCATTGTCTGCACAGCTGTTTGAGGGTATAATGAACACTCCCTACTCCCTTTGGTACCAGGAGCCATTTTTATAAATAAACTGAAGGCTTCATGGATTTTTTTCAAGGTTCTCTCTTAATCTTTCCTATTTAAACCATTTCTTTTAAAATACTTTTGCAATTGGTCTGCACTATTATATATAACATCTGATATTCAGATTCAGACAAACCAGAAAAAGAACCAAAGGGCAGAGACAGCACAAGAGACTGGTGAGTAAGGATGTATTTTATAAGTGATCAGTTCATTGTTAAACTGTCTACTCTTTTTTTTTTTTTTGGTACTGGGAATTGAACTCACGATTACAAGATTGCAAGGCAGACACTTATGCCACTGAGCTAAATCCCTGGCCCCTAAACTGTCTACTCTTTTTTTTATCCACACAAGGGATCGAACTCACGACCACCTGCTTTAAGGCAGGTGCTTATGCCACTAAGCTAAATCCCAAGCCCCTAAACTGTCTACTCTTAAAAGAGCTTCTACCCCCTGCTCACTTTATTTATTTATTTGTTTTTTGGTCTTTTTCGTTTTTATCGGTACCAGGGATCGAACTCACGACTGCCTGCTTGCAAGGCAGGCGCTTATGCCGCTGAGCTAAATCCCCAGCCCCTCCCCTGCTCACTTTATAACCATAGGGGACTGAGGTCATGAGAACTCTTTATTTGGTCACAATTACTCAACCATGGCACATCGGGAAAAGGCCAGAGCTGTGGGCCAGAAGAGGCAATTGACAGCCTTGGCTGGAGCAGAGGAAGGCATAAGCAGGGTGGTCTCCCACCACCAAGTAGCAATGTAGGGGCAACACATGGAGGTGGGGACAAGGCTTCTCAGGGCAGGGTGATACTCACAGGTCAAACACCAGGAACATGAAGCTAGAAGACTCGTACGAATCGATGAGAGTGACTGGGGAAAGAGACAGAAAGACAGAGATAGCGATGGAAAGTAATGACTTTGCCACCCCAAGGCAGCAGTGGGTTATTACTGGGAAGGAAGGATAACCAATGGAGGCGGTAGGGACCCCAAAGACTGGCCACTCTGACGCAGAACAGAGCAGAGCCAGGAGGAAGGGAAGAGAGGGCTGTGGGCAGGGCCAGGAGACAGTAGGGTTATCAGCTAACAGGAACAGAGAATGCAGCCTCACTGATGTGGGGGTGGCCGGCGACCTGGCGAAGGATCTGAGTCTCTCGCCGTGTGGCTTCCCGCACCTCCTCCAGCTGCTCAGGACTCAGCCGCTCAGCTGTCACCTCCATGATCTTCACTGCAAACTCATCACCAGTGGCTCGATGAACGCAACGGCGGACCACAGAGCTCACTCCTCTGCCGAAGCCAGACAATAGCACAAGTCAAGGTTTCCTGTCCTCTTTATTTTCAAACCAGATGGAGCCTTGGCATCTTAAAGCTTGCTATGCCAAACTCTGAAGACCCATCTGAATAAGACAACCACCACAGAAACTCATCCTGGCCTACAGCAGATTCATGGTGACCTCTGGAACTTGGGTACCCAGCAAGGTGCAACATAGCTTATAGGAAGGCAGGCCAAACGCCGGATTTAATTCATCTTCTAACACTTCCTTCTTTTATTTTTGAGACAAAGTCTCACTGTGCAGTTCAGTCTGGCCTTGGGCTTACTTTGTAGCCCAGACTGGTCTTGAACTTGCAGTGATCCTTTTGCCTCAGCCTCCCAAGTGCTGGGATTACAGGAGAACCACGCCTGGCTTTGTAGTTAAACTTCTAACATTCTCTCTATAGTCCCTCCCACACTGAGCCCTAGAAATCAGTGCTTTACAGGAAAGAGGAAGAAACATGTCTCTCTCCCTTCATATTTCACTGATACTTCCCTGAGTGTTCCATGAAATCTAAAAGCTACCTACAATATTTCAAGTGTGGTAAGTGCCAAATAAACATGGAGCCACTGGGTGGGAGACCAAAGTTGAAAATTTATGTCTTAGACTTTAAATTTGCCATCAATTAACTTTCATGCAACTCAAAGCATGTGATTCAATGACATAAGGTTTCTGGGTTTTAGTTTCTGGAATTCTGTTTCTTTCTTTTTTTTTTTTTGGTACCAGGGATCGAACTCATAACTGCATGCCTGCAAGGCAGGCACTTGTGCTGCTGAGCTAAATCCCTGGCCTTAGTTTCTGCAATTCTGAGTTTTGTTTTAGAGACAGTATCACAGTATGTAGTTATTAAGGCTGGTCATGAACTGTGTAGCCCCAGGCTAGCTTTAAATTCATTTTCCTGCCTCAACCAATGCTGGGATTATATGGGTATGCCACCATAACTAGCTATTTTCTGCAATTCTAAAAGGTGGCCAACCAATACTTTGAAGGGATGTTGAAAGACATTAATGAGGTAGATACTGGAAAGCCCATTAGGCTTTGGAACTTCCTTGCTTGGGCTGCACCAATTCCACTTTACCAGGCAAATATTCTCAGGCTCAGATGCATATGCCTGCAGAATCTCACCTCAAACCACATTTCTTAGGCTGGTTCCTGGGTTGCTCTTCACATGACCTTACTGCCCTGTTCTCTTGATAGCTTTTGGTCTCAGGTAACTCCTTAGCTTGGAATTGCCTTCCACATGGCCAGTTAAATCAAGGAATGCAATCTATTGATCCTGAGACCCAAAACAGCCCATGGGCATATAATGATCTGGCAGTATCTCAAATGAGATAACTCTGCTGCTACCATAAATCACTTTCTACTGTCTTACTCTTAGACAAGTTTATCTTACTCTTTTATATTTTTTCCTTTTTTTTGGTACCAGGTATCAAACTCATGACCTCACACTTACCAGGTAAGTGCTTGAGCCACTGAGCTAAATCCCCAGCCCTAGTTTTAATAAGGGCATCTGAATCTGAGTTCCATGGTTCAATTATTCTTTCTTTTTTTGTTGTCTGTAATGTTAGCATTGAATTCAGGCCCACATGCTGGGAAGTTCTCACCACTAAGTTTCACCTTCAGTCCTTAAGTATTGTATTACTTATTTTTAATGAGCCTGTTTGAGAATGCAAAAGTCAGAGGCCCCTACTAGGTACACGCATTCTGCCTTAACTGGTCTCCAAACTACAGCACTTTAACCCAATGTGCCACCTCCTTTGTAATCTCTTTCCAGTCCTAGGAGCTTTAAACACTTACTCCATAAAAATGTGTTCCACCATACTGTCTCAGCCCTCAGTTCCTCTGCACAATTCCCAATTTCTATTTTTTTTTTTTTTTTTTGGTACTGGGGATTGAACTCACAACCTCGTGCTTGCCAGGCAGGCACTTATGCTGCTGAGCTACATCCCCAGCCCTCTTTTTTTTTTTTTTTTTTTTTTTTTAAATAGGGTCTCTCTATACAGTTCAGGCTGGCTTTGAGCTCACTTTGTAAGCCAGTCTGGTCTGGAGCTCACAATGATCCTCCTGTCTCAACCTCCAGAGTGCTGAGATTACACGCATGAGCCACCATGCCTGGCCAGAATTCCCAATTTCCACTGCCTTACTGACATGTCTATGTAATATCTAAACAGTACCTGGTCAAATCTGATGGTCACACCTCCCTCCAGTTTCCTGGCCTTAGCAGCATTTGACACAGCAGACTCTACTTTTTTTTTTTTTTTTTGGTTCCAGGCATTGAACTCATGACCTTGTGCTTGCCAGATAGGTGTTATGCTGCTGAGTTAAATCCCTGGTCCCAACCCTGCTAATCTTATAGAAGTATATTCTTGTATTTTTGTTTTTAGCTCACAGATGGTCTTTTTAATCCCCCTTGCTGGTTCCTTCTCTAACTGACCCACAAATGGTTACATGCCTCAGGACCTAAACCTAGACTACATTCATTTCTCATACTCTCCTACAGCTACTACTGTATGTTGGTGCCTTCCAAATTTATAGCTCTCACTCAGCTCTAGAAATCAAGATTCCTAACTGGTCTTTTCATCCTTACCCTTTTCCTCTCCACTCTCTACACGAAAGGCAGAAAGATCTTTTTAAAAAAATTACAAAAAAAAAGTATTATGAAGCCAAGCATGGTGGCACATGTCTGTAATCCCAGCGGTCTGGGCAATTTAGCAAGCCCCTATCTCGAAACAAAAAATAAATAAGGACAGGGGATGTAGCTCAATGCAAAAGCCCTGGGATAGATCCCCAGTACTTTAAAAAAGATAAGACATTCCATCCTCAAAGCAACCAGGGTATATTGTTTTTATTGTCAGTTAACCAAGGCACAAAAAGATTAAATTCCATGTTTCTAAATCACAGAAATATATATATCACATCATGTTACTATCATGTTTGAAACTACATATTTTTCAACAAGAACATTTATCTTATAATGGCCTAAAGCCCTATAAGATCTAACCCCTATTCACTTCTCCAATTTCTTTCACTTTTTCCCACTATTAGTGGATTCTAGCCACAGGCTGGAGTTTCTGCATTCACTGTTCCCTCTCCTGAGAATATGGTATGTCCTGCCCCAGCTCATGACCCACTCATTCTTGTTTTCAGGTTTCACCTCACAATCTAATTTCCTAAGCATGGCGTTCAGCTCAATGCTATAGTACTTATCTGCCATACACAAGGCTCGGAACAAATCCAAATACCTGGTTTCTTCAGAGGTTTCCCAGGCCTCCCTGCTTTCATTATTCTCATTCTGCCCTCTTACTTTCTCCTTAGCGCTTTATCTTGTTTTTTTGTTTATTGTCTGTCTCTATTGTTGGCATAGGACAGAAATCTTACGGGTTTCTGTCACCCCTCAGTAGGAGGGCACAACATATCCAGTACAGTGTGCGCTTAGGAAACCTTTAACAAACAAATGTATCTGTCACAGACATACAAGTGAAGCCTTTCTTCTAGTCCCTACATCCTGAACCCCTATTCATACTTAAAGGACGGAGCCCAAAGATCACAGTTCCTGGGAAGCACATTGTAAGACCCCTATCTTATCAAGTCTGATATTTTTGGGGTTTTTTTTTTTTTTTGGTCTTTTTGAGACAGGGTCTCACTATGCGGTTCAGGCTGGCCTTGGGCTCATTTTGTAGCTCAGGCTGGTCTTGAACTTGCAAGGATCCTCCTGCCTCAGCATCCCAGTGCTGGGATTACAGGAGTAGGCCACCACGTCCAGCAAGTCTGGTATCTTTTTAACCACTTCACTTAGAATAACTCCAGGGCTTTTCTACTTTCCCCAAGAGTAGCTTTGTGTCTGTCACACAGTTGGTGCTTCAACCTTCTTCCTTAAATAAACACATAAAATTCGTTGAAAAAACGGGGCACCCAGAATATTAGTCTAGTCGGTCACCAAACATTCTCCACGGACCACTGACCTTTTCCATCTATCCAGTCCTCAGATGTAACCAAGTATCCGGGCTAGGAGCCAACCTCTCCGGAGCTCCTTTCCCTAGCTGTGACCTCACCTGCCAATGACGTCCTTAGGGTCATACTTCTGGTAAAACTCCTTGGCAGCGGCCCAGTCGGGCAGCTCATCCTCCGTCCCCACGTCCAGTGTCATTCTGAGTGAGGTGGGGGCCTGTGAGGAGGAAACCGAGAGCAGTGAGGGCAGAGAAGCCCATAGAGACTGAGATACACATCGCGGCTGCCGGAGGCGAAATCCCTGCGGCTGGGGCGCCAGGGTCCTGGGAGATGGGATTGGGGTAGGGAAAGGCTTGGGACTGGGGAGACTCCACTGAAGGGCCCAAGGGGAGGAGGGATAAGAGGGTAGGGAGGGGGACGGGAGAGGGGGAAGGAAAAGGTGGTCAGGAGAAAGGGGAAAGTGGCACCAAGGCAAGCGGCTGTTGCCGCGCAGGCGCACTTGGCGAAACGGAGAGTGGGGTGGGGTGGAGGTCTCGTGAAGAATTACCTGCCTGAGCCAGCAGTCAGAGTAGGGTTGATGCGAGGCCTCGAGGCAGCCGGCTCTGCGTTCCAGACCCTTGCTGTATCTTTGGCGGGCCGGCAACGATCTAGGAATCTGCCTCTATCCCTTCGACCAATGGTCTGCACCACCGTAAGACTGACATCCAGAAATCCTTCCGATTGGAGCACATAGTCCAATAGGAAGCCCAGAGAGTCCCGCAGTTAGAGTGGGAATGCAGGTCTAAATTATCAAAAACCGCAAAGATAGGGTGGGGCTTCGCGTATAACCAATCGTATATCATCTGCTGCGGAGGGCTGAACCTACGTCAAGTGGGATGGAGGCCCGGAATCCAACCCGGAAGTTAGGTTTACCCGGAAGCATGAGAAGTGGGCAGCTGAGACATCCAATTGTCTTTAGTTACCCGCCCCCCGTCTCTTCTCAACATTTCCACATGAATTCCAGTCTTTTTTATATTAAATGCTTAGTCCAAAAAGCGCCCTTTGTGGGTCAGACTCCTGCCCTTAGAACAACTGGGGTGCATGAAGCATTGGGTCACGCTCTTCCGTGCGGATTTACATGGCCACAAGCCTCTGGTCCTGTAACCGCTGACTTCTTGAATATTTTCCCAGCCATGGTGCGTACCATCTAGATTTATACACTTCACCAATTTTTTCCCCCAGCCTTACACACACCACACACACACACAAGCCTTGGGACTGTATCAAGCTCAGTCCACCATGTTTTTGAGATTCACAGGAGTGATTTCAAAACCATTTCAGTCCTGGCATTCAACTTGATCATACACCAAATACTTGTTGAGTATCTGAGACCTAGGCTTTGGGTTACAGCAATGAAAAGAACAACATACCCTTGTGGAGATTTTGTTCCAGCAAAAGAGGAACAGAATGAACCACGATTTCACCTGCTACTATTATCTTATAAATGTCGCTCAGGGATCAAAACCACATAAAGAGGGGCTGGGGATTTAGCTCAGCGGCATAAGCGCCTGCCTTGCAAGCAGGCAGTCCGTGAGTTTGATCCCTGGTACCGATAAAAACGAAAAAATAAATAAATAAATAAATGAATCCAAAGTAAACTTTTATGAAGTTTTTTGGTTTTATACTAATACAAGGAGAAAAGAAATGCAAAGACATTTTGGAAAATTTGTTGTTTGGTAGTATAACGGAATAATTATCCTAAAACAATAAACTAAACATTAATGTAGTTGGAAGCCAAGGTTTTTACTGTAAGAATATAGAATCTGGAACGGGAAAGAAAATGAAGGACCCTCTGACTAATTACAATTGGCAGAATAATTTAAAAACGGATTTAAACTGGATATTGTGCATGCCTATAATCCCAGCACTCAGGAGGCTGAGGTGGGAAGATCACTGCAAGTTTGAGACTAGCCTGGGCTACAAACTAAGCTCAGGTTAGCCTGAACTGCAAAGTGAGATGTCTCAAAAAGACCAAAATAATAATAAAAATTGAATGAGGGCTTATTAAAAAGAACAAGAACCAGGTTTGAGGTTTTCCACTAATCAAAATCAGAGACAAATATACTGAGACAAGGGTCATGAAAGAGTTTTCTGACTGTTCAAATGTTCTGTTTACCTAGATGGTGACTGCCCAGATTTATTGATTTAAAAAAAAAATTGTCAAAACTGCCTACTTGGACTGTATAAATTATATCTAAAGTACTGAGGGTTCAACCCTAAACTCTGGGTCTTCACACCAAGCTATATCCTCTGTACATTTTTTATTTTGAAATAAGGTCTTGGCTAAATTGTCCAGGATAGGCTCAAGCTTATCTCTCTGCTTCAACCTTCAAGAGTACTGACATTGAATGATATTAGCCTGTTTTGTATTGTTTAACATACATAAATTAACATACATGAAGGTATGGACAGCTAATGTGGACAAGAACAAGAGACATTATGGCAGCCATTGTTGATTTTCCCATTGTCTGGTATTGAAGGCCCATAATGCCTTCATCACCATGTTCTGATCAGTTTAATACTATTTTGTTTTGTATGAATTGTATGTGAAGATGGACAACTATTTGGAAGACAACAGACATTATAGTAACTATGGTAGACATCTTATTTTGCTTTGAAATCTGTCACTTACATTGTTTACTTCTGATCTAGTTTGTTCTGTTGTCTATTTTACTCTTTAAAATAAAAAAATAAAAGGTAAAAATTAAATGACACTATTTATTCGGTAAAAGAAAAAAAAAAGTGCTGAGATTACAGGTATGCATCATCATTCCTGGTGTGAATGGAACATATTTCAATATGATAATAACCTCATATAACAACCAAATTAAAAAACATACTCAGACCATGTGAATCCTAAAAGTTCTAAGTAAAAAATACAAAAAATTTTTGTTTTACCGAGATGCGGATTAAACTCAGGGACTTGCACATTGATAGGCAGCACCATACCACTCAACTATATCCTGAGGTCTAGATTTTCTTTATAGTAAAAAGAGTCAGGGAACCTGAGGCCAAAAGATTCCCAAATTTAAGGCCAGCCTGAGCACCTGGGTGACACCATGTTTGAAAGTAAATAAGAGCTGGAGACAATGCTTGGTAATAGATTGCCTGGTTTAATCATCAGTTCCTTTGTACTGAGCGGGGGACGGGGAGATACCAACATTTGGCAAATCTCATGGTAAAAAGTGATTTGGGCAAAATTAGTAGGCATTAAAATCACTGGTCAAACTGTGAATAGTGGTACATGCTTGTAACTACAGCACTTGGGAGAATCAAGGCCAACCACAGTGAGGCCCTCTCCAAAAAAAATATGACATCTGGTGAAAATTTGCTAGAAAAGTTTATATATTTAATTACAAAGGGGAAAAAAGATCATTACCTTGGAAAAATGACACATTAACAAAATTGTTAATATTACTACTAGTAAGACAAACCAACATTCATGTGTGTTCTGTTGTGAAATGGCCTTGCTTCAAAAACATGAAAGACAAAAAAGAACAAGAACTATTCAAAAATTGAAGCAGACTAAAGAGGCGTGACAGCCAGATATGGTGGTACACGCCTGTAAATCCCAGTATTTGGAAGGCTGAGGCAGGAGGATCATTGTAACTTTGAGACCAGCCTGGGCTACAAAGTGAGCTCATGACCAGCCTGAACCATATAGCAAGATCCTGTCTCAGAGAGACAAAAAAATTAAACTAAAATAAAAAGGCATGACAACTAAACACAGTGAGGATTCTGAACTAGACCCTAAATTAGGAAAGACATTGCTATAGAAAATGTTACCAAGCCAGCTGTAGCAAAACACACCAGTAGTATCAACTATTCAGAAAGCTGAAGCAGGAACACAAGTATCAGCCTGAGCAACTAGCTGTGGTAAGAGTACTAGCCTACTATGCATGAGATCCTGGGTCAATCTTCATTACTTTTGGTTTCCAGAGCACTTTTGAACATTGAAAACAGCCACATGTGCCCCTAATCATCTCTTCAGTGCACATATCTCTCATTCCTTTACATTTTCTGCTACATTATGATGAGGTAATCGTAATTCCCAGGGCATATGTTCACAAATATCCAAAATTGAGCATGGTGGTATGTGCCCATAATCCCAACACTCTTGAGAGGTTGAGGCAGGTGGACTCCAACTTCAAGCCCATTTTGGTCAAGTCAGTGACATGAGACCCTGCCTCAAAATACAAAATAAAAAAAGGTCTGGGATTATAACTCAATATAGAGGTTTTGGGTTCAATCCAGTTCTGCCACTACTAGCTCAGTGACCTCAGGCAATTCTGTGCCTATTTCCTCACCTATAAATGAAAAACCTACCGATGAATCAATATGGGGACTGAAAATGTAAAAGATTTAGAATACAGCCTGGTATAAGTATTCAAGTGAAGAGTAGCTTCTGTTACTATACTTCTCCATCCTCATTCTTTCTGCTGATGTATATGGGAAAAGCTGTGGGGTCTTCCAAGAAAGGAATCTTATTTTTTTTTTGGAAACTTCCAGAAGAAGGAAAAAAAAATTGTTTCCTTCTTATGGAGTTGCTAAGTGAAGCACGAGACCAGCTGCAGGGTTCTGCCATCAGTCAGGTGTCCAGTCTGGTCTTCATCAAAGGCCCAGGGGAAAGCATAGAGAGAATAATCAGACAGGAGCATTTCAACACCAAAAGAGGTTTTTATTACAAAACAAATTCTAATAAAATTAGGCCTGGTCTTCAACCCCCTCCTCTGGGTAGAAGCCCCTAGGATGGAGTGGAGCAGGATAGAGAGAAGGTGGAGGGCATTGAAACAGAGCCAGCTGATCACCCCTCCCCAGTCTTAGCTCTTGTTATAAAAGGCTAGAAGAGCTCTTCCAAAGGCCCTTGAGAGAAGCCCCACCCTTCCAGCCAAGAAGGACCACTGCTGTCACCAGAACTTAGCAATGTTGCACTGTTGGATCCAACATGTCTCAGCTGACTCTCAGCACAGGCCAGTCAGGGTCATTCAGCCTGAGTGATGGCGTAGGAAAGCAGCCACAGCAGCACAGGGCATAGAATGAGGACAGCAAGCCAGACGGCAAAGCTGGCCAGGATGAGCCTCCGGGACCGGACCCCCCAGTGCACTGCCTCCTCGAATCGGCCTGCCTTATGTCGCTCTTCTGCCTGTGGGGGCATGTTCTTGGTTAGGTTTTCCCCCTACTTCTGCCCCAAAAGTACCCAGTGCCCCAGTCCATTCCCCCACTGATCACACCTCAAAACCTCACACCTATTTGCCTTCCTTTGTTGTTTCTCGTATTTCATCTGCAAAATAAGGTTTAGGTTTGGTTTTGTTTTTTGTTTTTGGGTACAGGAATTGCTCTTGCCAAGCAGGCACCAGTTGGTTTGGTTTTTTGAGACAGGGTCTTGCTATAGTTCAGGCTGGTCTTGAACTATTATGCCCCAACTGGCCCTGAATTTGCAGTGATCCTAATGTCTCAGTCTCCCAAGTGCTGTGATTACAGGAGTGCAACACTATACCCAGCAAGGTTGCCATTTTTACCCTACTTTTCAAAGCACAGTTAGCTCACAAAATGACACATAAGGACCTAGGCATGGTGGCACATGCCTATAATCTTAGCACATGGAAGGCTGAGGCAGAATGATTACCACAAGTTCAAGGCCAGCCTGGGCTCCAGCTAACCTAGACTACACAGTAAGACGTCTCAAAACAAAACGATCATACACAAAGAAAGTCTATTATTTTATTCTCTGTTTTTTACTACCTATCCTAGATTCACTCAGAAACCAGAACTGTTGCTATTTTTTAAAAACAAAGTCTTTGTTGTGCAGGCTGGTCTTGGTCTCCTGATGATCCTCACTTTAGCTTCCCAAACGCTGGAAATTATATAGGTGTGTGCCACTACACCCAGCAGAATTTGGAATTATTTTTGATTCATGTTTTTTGACTCATATTTAGTCAGATACCATATACACAACTTTCTTATCATTAGAGATCCTTTTTATGATTTTGCCCTAGTAAAAGCCAGAGAATTTTTTGGTTTTGGGACAGGGTCTCACTATTTAATTCAGGCTTGCTTCAAACTCCACAATCCTCTTGCCTCAGCCTCCTGAGTGTTGAGATTATAGGACTGTGCGGCAATCCCGTTTAAAAGCCAGAAATTCTTACGGTGACAGAGATATTTGTGATTGTTTTTTCTTTTTAGTTGGGTTGGGGATAGAATCCATGGCTTCACACTTTAGGGAAACTTACTCTGCCACTGAACTATACCCAGTCCTGAAATAGTTTGTTAAAAACATCTAGAGTCTAGGGTCAGCTGTGGTGGCACATACCTGCAACCCCAGCACTTGGGAGGCTGGGGAAAGAGGATCACTGTGATCACCAGTCTTTGTTACACAGTGAGAGTCCAAGGCCAGCCTGAACTACATAGTGAGACCCTGTATCAAAACAAAAAATATATCCAGAGGTAAGAAAATTTCAGCATGTTTAAATCAGACTGAGTCATCTTTCAAAAGGTACACCTGTGTGCTGGGTATACAACTCAGCCATAGAACACTTGCCTAGTAAGATGCCAGGTTCAATCCCAAGCACCTCAAAAATAAACCAACCAACCCCACACATACACAAAAACACCAAAAACAAAAGAAACACAATAGGTGTGTATATCCAACTGAAGCCCTTTCAAAGACCCCAATACTTCTTGTAGATTTTTTTGTTTAGTGAAATAGGATCTCACTATATAGTTCAGGCTGGCCTTGAACTTACTATGTTGCCTAGAATAGCCTCAAACTTGTGGCAATTCTCCTGCCTCAGTCTACTAAGTGCTGGGATTATAGGCATGCCTCACCACACTTGGCTCTTCCAGACTCTCACCCTCCATGTAGGCCTTGCCAATGAATTTTTCTGAAACACAAATCTAACCACATCACTCACATCCTGCAAAAACTTTCAATGACTCCCTAGTACTTTGCAGATAAATTCAAAATTCTTATGCATAGAATTAAAGAGGCCCTATACAATCTGGATTATCTGGCTTCCTCTCTCAATAAACCAATCATGCTGAATACTCCAGGTCTTGATATACACTGCTTTTTTCTAGAATGTCCTTTCACCCTTATTTACGAATCCTTTAAGATTACTTTGCTGTCACCTCCCCCAGGGATGCCTTCACGATCATCTACATTATCAAAGCTCATACATCTCCTGCTCTTCTGAGTACCCTGTGCTTCCTCTATCATGATACTAATAAACTCAATTCTCCCAGTAATTATTTTCACTGCCAACTGTTTCATAGAAAAGTCCTCTGACAGGTGGGATCCTATCTTACTATTCTTGCACTAGGTCCAGACACAAGCAGTGATAGGTATTTAGTAACTGTTCTATCAATATAGCCAAGTCAGACACTCAAGACCATTGCCTTATACCCAACCCCACTCCCACAAAAACTGCATTCCTCACCTTGATGGCAAACACAAGAGCCATGACTCCCAGGCAAGAGCAGCCACAGATAATGCTAGTAGCTGCCAAGCAGCGGAGGCGGAGCCAGCAGCCGCGGATGGGGGATGGAGAATGAGCAGTTGTCATGTTGCTCACCACAATCTCCACTGCCTTCTCCTCGTCCTGCATCACCTGTGGGCGATACAGTCAAGGTACTTGTAAACCCAACAAATGAGTCCTTGACCTGGCTTGCTGACTCCACCCCTCTCTGATGTCCTCATAGCCTGATTCATCTCTAAGGAATGCTGCCTTACTTGGAAATTCCACTACTGACTCAGACCAGGAAAGGAAGTATGTGGCTAGAATCCTTTTCCCTCAGTTTAAATTCTGAGTCTTAGAGACAAGCAGAAGTATACATACCTATTACTGTTTTGAAAACTACAACTAAGAAGCAGGAGATACAAATATTAAACACTTAAAACCAAGTAGTTTTAAATGCTATTTCAGCCAGCCATGGTGGTGCACGCCTATAATCCCAGCACTTGGAAGGCTAAAGGAGGGTCATTATGAGTTCAGGGCCAGCATGAACTACACAGTAAGACCCTATCTCAAAAGGCAAAAGAAAGTAAAATAAACTTTATTTCAAAGGTCATGAAGTTCCCTGAAGTTCCCTCTAGAGGCTGAGTATTGAGGAATCAATGAGTAGCACCCTAATCCTGCACTCCATTGCAATAAGCAACTATTTCATATTAAAGTATCAGTGGCAGAGATGGAGAACAGGAAAAAGTACACATCTAAATCCTTTGTTACAACTGATGAAACACCAGAAAGTCCTTATTTCTCCAAGTTGGGCAAAAACTTTTTCCTATACTGACTTCTTGCCACCCACTCTCTACAGACCACACAAAACATTAAATAGTCTAAATGCCATTATTATCCTCACAGAAACTTGCATGATACCCTACTCATTTCTCAGGCCCTGTAAGCTTCAGTATCAAACTACCTCGACAGTCTCATCCAACCATTCCATTATAGCTAGACAAAAATAACTCCTACAGTTCCTGAAAACAAGACAGTAAGGATACAAGAGGCAAAATAAGCAGAGAGCAAAGAATGATGTGTGCCACAAAGCTGCAGGTTAGGTATGGGGAAAAAAAGATGAGAAAAAGATAGTCACCAAGGGAAGAACCCAAAGAAAGGGCCCAGGGACTCAAAGACAAAGAAGTGAACATGAACAGGGGCTCTTACCTGGCTATAGGCATTGAGGAACTCTGAGTTTCGGCTCCAGCCTCAGGTTTGATTTGGCTCAGGTGAAGATGGAGCTGACTCAGGGCTCCAAGCCCAGGGGTGGGGCTGAGTGGCCAGCCATCATCTGAAGAGCCCCAGGAGCTGGGGAGGGAGTGTGGCTGACTCAAACCAGTTTGGCTAGATGGAGAAGGGAGGGCTGCAGGATGAAGCTAGTTGTAGGTAAGTAAGATGCCTTTCTTCTGGAGAAAGCACTTGAACAGAGGGTTGGTTAAAAGGAAAAAGGCTGAGGCACTGGAAAGCTCTGAGGAAGATCAGCAACCAAAGCAACAGAAGCAGGGAAGAGGACTGTGTCTGAGTGACTTACAACTAAGAATTTAGAGAAACAAGCCCTACCAGCAGCTAAGGTTTGCCAGTCTTCCCTCTTCTTGAGAGTAGAGGTTTCTGCCTCACAAGTGTACAACCCAGGAGTATAGATCAGATACAAGGGTCTTTGCAAGAGGAAGGGGAGAAAAACCAATGCCCAAGTTCCCACCCAACCCTCCACACCAGAAAATCAGAAGCTTCCTTACGCGGATGCTTGTACAGAAACTAAGTTTATTATTTTTTCTCCTTAAAAAAAAAGAAAAAAGAAAAAAAACTCATTGTAGAGAAGCCCCTCCCCTTTTCCCTAAGGATGTGGAGCTATGAAAGATAGCTGGGGAATCAAGTACAAGGGGGTGGGGCAAAGACTATCTTGCCACCCTTAACACTGCCCAGCCACTGTGTAGGAGGGGAGGAGGATTGTGATGAGCCCCCATTTCCATGACAACCAGTTGCCTACCCCCTACTTTGGTGGAAAGAAGGGTGAAGGCCCATATGTCTCCCTGGAGGCTTTCCCCCTCAAGACTTCAAGTAGTGGTTAAGAGTCAGGCCTGGTCATGGAGGATGGAGTGGCCATGGTGGAAAGCCTAGGTGGAAGAGCAACCCACTCACGTCTTGGCCTTCCGGCCTCTGTGACTAATGGCAGGGCCAGACAAGAGGGGCGGGGCACTGCTTCGCAGGATGCGTTGGTCCCCTTGGTTGGTGGTCCCAACGAGCCTGCGGGGGCCAGGCCGGCGGCGTAGGGTTCCATCCCCTTCTTCTTCCTCACCTGAGGCTTCAGCCTCAGACTCTTCTACTGAACCCTCAGGCTCCAGGGGACTTGGAGGTTGTGCTCGGCCCCGTTTTGCCAAACCCGGACCCCCACCAACTGGGGCCCCTGCCCGTTTACGAGGCACCTTTTCAGTCTCTAGCGGGGGTACTAAAGACCCTGGGCGAAGCCGGGTCGAGCGCAGTTTTGGGGCTAATGAGACCACAGGAGGGGTCAATTCTAACCCGCCTGGCCCACTATCTGCTACATCCAGATCATCTTGAATTACAGCTACCACCATGGACCCTTCATTCTTTCGTCCCCGAACTCCCTCTGCTTCAAGTCGCAGGCGAGCCAGGCGGGTGAGAGGGCGGCTTCCATCCTCATCAGAAGAGCTACCCTCACTTTCCCCCTGGCCCTGGGGTAGCCGCCGCCTCCCTAATCCACAGCTCTCAAGGACGGAAGAGCTGTCACGGTCCAATACTGGGAGTTGGCTGGCTCGAGGTGACGGTGGATTCTTGGGAGGTCGGCCCCGCTTCCGCTTAGGCGGGGACATCGAAATGGTGACCGTGGTGACAGTGTTGGCGACAGGAGCAGTAGGACAGGTTAGCAGTGGTGGGGGTGGAGGTGGGGGTTGTGGGAGTTGCTGTGTCCGGCTCTCTAAACTGCCATCCCCTGCAGAGGAAATGGTCCCAGGAATGGACAAATCTCGTGCCTTGGGGGGCCGGCCACGCCTTCTTTTCTCCACAGGTGACAGGATGATAGGCTCTGGTTGGTGAGCTGGTGGAGGTCCAGGAGGCTGAGATTCAGGAATAAGCTGAGGCTGCAGGACAGGGTCTACAACAATTAGGGTCTCAGCCCCAGGGACTGGGTCAGTCCCATTGGTTTTTCCTTTAGAGATGGATGAAAATGCTTCATCCACCCCTCGCCCAACATCTGCTGGAGACCTGTTCTTTTTGGGAGGCCTCCCCCTCCGACGTTTCACAGCAGGTGGAGAGATGGCAAGCAGTGCTCCTTCTCCATTTTCTGGGCTGTCCCTTTCAGCCACCCCTAGCTCAATGTGACGCCGAGCTATGAAGGGTTGAATTGCGGTGGGCAGTGAAGATGAGGGAACAGCTTCACCGGGCCCACTGTTGGGAGGTGAGGACTCTGGCCCGGACATGCTGCGGGTAGATGGGCTTCCTGGGCTGGCACTAATCTCCGAGGCCCCAGGCACTAAGGTGCTGGCAGTTCCCCGCTGTTGACGACGTCGCCTCACAAGTTCCTTTTCCTCCACCACAGTTACAAGCCGTCCTGGCAGCTTTCGAAGCACTTTGGGGCCTGGAGGTTGTCCTGGTCGACCAGTCCCCTGACCCCTAATTTCTACATCAGCACTGGTGCGACGCCGAGGGGGCCGGACAGGTGAAGGACCCTCAGGAGAGGAGGTGACAGAAGATGAGGTTGATGGAGCTGTAATTTCAGCTGTAGCAAGTTCTTGTGACTTCTCTGGGCTGGAAGTTGGGGTCTGAACCTCTACCAATTCTTCCAAGGTCCTATCAGCCTCCTGGAGTGGCTCATCAGATGGTAGTGAAGGTGGGAGCTCCAGTCCATTGCTCTCACTCAAACCTGTGGGCAGCTGCTCATGATCCAGTTCTGTGATGGTCCCCTCAGCAAGATCTCGTACCTCTTGCTCCTGACCATTGGGGATGCTGCCAGCCTCTGGGGTTGGGCTAGGTGCAGAAGAGATGAGAGGAAGGTTCTTCTCTAACACAGGTAGGACCTCAAGAGCAACTGGCAACAGATCCTTAGGGGACATAAGAGGAAGTGGGGAAATCTCAGAACTGGTCATACCAGCCATCTCCAGGGGCTCCGTAGATGCCAATGCTTGTGCACAAAGTTCTGCTTCAGGCCCCAAGCCCAATGAGAGATTAGTAACTGGAGAAGAGATGGGTACAGAAGGTGAATCAAGCAGAAGAGGAGAAGCAGGAGTTAAGAGAGAAGTCTGGGCTGGTGGTGGGGTATGAGGAGGTGGTGGAGGAGAACAGGCAGCAGGAGGGGTACAGGCAGAAGATGGAGCAATCTGCAGAGGTGGTGGGGGAGATGGTGAGATATGGACAGGAAGCACAGTTACAGGATTTGGGGCTGAAAAGGGTATTGAGACAGGGATTGGGGCAGGAACTACAGTAGGAGCTGAAGCCTGAGTAGGCCGAGGCCTAGATGCTGGCCTGGCAACTCGTTCCTTGGCAGGACTACAGCGAGGGGGAGTGGAAGTGCTGCGGATATGATGGGTAGAAGTGACAGGAGTGTGATTTGTCCCTTGAGTCTCCGTCCGGGCTCCACGAAGACGCTCACTGACACGAGTCCCCAGCCTCTCAGGGGCCTTGACCTTCTTATTGCGCCGGTGGCTGCCTCCACTAGTGCCACAGGAAATCTCATCCCCAGCCCCTGGCCCCTCTTCCTGTTCTTGGGGTAGGCGGAACACCTCCTCCTTGGCTTGGTCCAGGTCTTTTCGTGCAGCTTCCACTTGTTCCTACCAAAAACATAGCCCCCAAGGGTGTTCAGTAAGATTCAAGTAGAGCAGAGTGAGTAGTAAACAGCAGCTTTCCACTACAAACAGCCCACCCTAGAAATACTCACTTCTGCCTGTTTGAGCTCCTCTCTGCTCACTTCTTCCAAAGAGGCTTCCAGGAATTTCATGGCATATCGCTCAATGGGGGTCAGCTACAGAGAGAAGCAGAGAGATCAACTAAAGATCTCGTGTCTAGGACTCCCAGAAGGGTCTTAAACCCAGGAGAAAATGTTATAAAGGATGAGAGCAAAAATTAGTGGCTCCAATATGGACCTGTTCCACAAGGGCAGCAATCTCTTGCTCAGCACGGGACATCTCCTCATCATCAGCTCCAACCCGACTGGCTTCCTCTCCCTCACCAACAGTAAACCCATCATTCTCATTAAATTCTGCAAGTTCAGCCACTTGTTCAGCCTTGGCCTGGGTGGCTGCACGAATATCTTCTTCATCCTCTGCCCTACACAAGGCCTAGAAGAGAAAAAAAAATGAATTAAGGAACTTAACATATTCTATAATTTGATTCTAGAAAAAATGAGGTCAAATTTATATTAAACCAGGTTTGTAAGATAGCAACCTATTCTAGGACCCAGGACTGACATAAAAGCTATTTTAGAAGTCCTTGGCTAGGCTGCTGGGGATTTAGCTCAGCGGCATAAGCGCCTGCTTTGCAAGCGCATGGTGAAAGAAGTCGTCCTTGGCTCTACTTCTTTGCATTAGTTAGCCTTAGCATTTTTTTTTTTTTTTTTTTTTTTTTTTTTTTTTTTTGGTGGTACTGGGAATTGAACTCGGGGACTTATCCACTAAGCTGTATCACCAACCCCTAACCTTAGTTTATTTTATTTATCTCCCCCCGCCCCCTTTTTTTTTGCGGTACCAGGGATCGAACTCACGGCCTCACGCTTGCCATGCAGGCGTTTATGCCACTGAGCTAAATCCCCAGCCCTATTTTGTGTCTTTTTGAGGTAGGGTCTTCACTGTAGTTGAGGCTGGCCTTGAGCTCATTTTGCAACCTAGGCTGGTCCTAAACTTGCAATGATCCTCCTGCCTCAGCCTCCCGAGTGCTGGGATTACAGGTGTGCACCACCACTTCTAGCTAGCCTTAGATTTTTTTTTTTTTGGTACCAGGGATCAAATTCATGACCTCATGCTTGCCAGGCAGGCACTTTACCACTGAGCTATAATCCCCAGCTTAGCCTTAGTTTTTTAAAACAACACAAAAACACATATGTAGGATTCAAGCTTTTTTTTTTTGAAAAGTGCAATAGTGAAGATTGAATATGGGGCCTTTGCGTTAAGTTATATCCACAGCCGCACTCTATCCTTTTTTTAAATTCTAAACTCCACAGACTGAGATCAAATTTGCAATTTATCTCCCTCACCTTTCCAGACTGCTATGATTACAGGCATACATCACCACAACCAGCTTGTATTTGCTTTCTGTGCCAAGATGCCATAAGAAAACCTATTAATTCTAACTAACCTCTTCCTGAGTATCAAAGGATACTGAATCCACTGAGAGGAAATAGCCTAGAGCATGCCCAGTAATAAGAAGGCACTCAGTAGGATGACGCTGTATCCTGTGGTCTTAAACATCTGTCTACATCTGAAGAATTTTGAAAAAACATTCCCATAACCAATACTCAAAATACTTATGATTCAGTTGACTTTGAGAGAGAGTCAATTACCCCTTTGAACAACCTTTCCAACGGACTCTATTATACTTAAGTATTTGGAAAACATCTCATATCATACACAAGGCACCTTTTTAAAAAAATTTTTTTTGGTGGTGCTGAGAATTGAACCCAGAATCTTTATACTGGCTTACATCCTCAGCCCACTTTTTAATTCTGAGACAGTGTGTTGCT